GACATGACTAGCCTGCAAGACGTGAGTAAAAACCTCCAATTATCTCCTTTAAAAATTATGTGTAGGTAAACACCAGTACAGCTTCCTGGCATGAGTGCATTATTATCAGTATCTATTTTGTTTGGGTCATAAACAATAGCCTGTTCCAATGGTGTGTATGCATTAAAAAATACATGTACATATAAGACATAAAAAGAGAAAAGGAGCACATTCTTTGTCTTTTAATTACTGTTAGGAACAGTTATCATTCTTCTAGGTAGTGGGAAGCAGAATCAAGTGAAGAGCGCAAAACTGGATATAAAATTAACAGAATGCTTATTACTTCATTGATTATTCTTCCTTTCTTCTTGATTTATTTCTTCCTTCCTTCCTTCATTTATTTATTTATTTATCTTTTTCTTTTTTCTTCTTTATGCATTTTCAAGTCCAGGGTAAATTATAGCATACTTAGGTCTCATATTTATATAGATTTATTCTAAATTTAACAATCCTTTTGAGAGTCTTGGTGGTCTATCATAATGTCATGTATGTGATGCGCATTTAACATAACCCAGTAAGAACCAGGAATCCTGCATGAAACGGAATGTACGTATCCTTAGTGGAAGAATTATGATAATTTCCACACATAAGAGCATATGCTTGTTGAGAAGTTGAAATTACCATTAATATTTATTAAGACTAGTTCAAGAATTTGAAAGCTCTTTTCCTATTAAAATTAATGGGAAGTAGGCATCCCAGGTGCCTAAAGATCTTGTAAATTCTCAACCCATATGGTGAGTGAGATGCTTTAGAGAAATGAAAGAAAGATCAAAGGAAGGACATATACGTTGTGTGTCTTGCTCTTAGTTCTTCTAGGACTACTATAGTGTTTTTGTTCATTCATCATATTGTTATATATTTGAAATTACAAATTAAAAAAGAAAAAATCAAGTTGGAATGTGACAGGATCAAATCTTCAAGAAATCAGAATGTAAAAATTGTCCATTTTTTCAAGATTTTGAGACTTTGAATCATAACATTGCTGCTCTAAAATGCTGAGAGATATGGAGATAAATAATTGACTCCTGACTGGTTTTACCTTAACATTTGAGAAGCTTCCTATCTTAAATGTTCCCTAGAGGAGCATTGTCCTAACAGAATATCAAGAATTGCAGCCACTTTGCAATCACTGTCACACAAATGACACCACTATGAAGGAAGAGAGCTAAACTTTGCTCCCTGTCCTGTCCTGAATAAACCCGTGCCTTGCCTATGCCCTTAAATTCAAGATAGCATTGCATGAATTTTCAACATAGTTCAAATCATAGGTAGATTAATTAATATATCAATATTAATATATATTGATATTAATATATCAATATATTTTGTTTGTATTGACTAACTACTGGTGCATAAAAATACCTTTTCTGTATGTTTTTAAAAAGTGATCTTGTAGGGATTAATTATGCAGTGTCTACGTGGACAAAATTCCCACTGAAGTCAATGGCACTTGTGCCTAATTGCAGAATGTGGGAACATACCCAAGAAGAGCATTCTATGCTCAGAAGGCATTTGTCTTTATATTCTGCCATTAGTCCCAGTACAAAGTCTGGCACTGTGTTTCATGATACGTGCTGCTCCACTAGTTCTGTCTAGAAACAAGCTCTTTTATGTGTAAAATATTTTTACTCTTTCGAATCAGTATAACAAACAACAAGTGGAAAAATAATTTTCTCTGAAAACTTCTTGAATTGAGAAAGCTATAAATTTACAAATTGTGACATATGCCCTTTAAAACTTGTACATCTACTGTTTTTATTTTCATTATGCATTACAAGTGCTATCAGTAATGTTTAAAAATGTTCTATTCCAGAAAAAATATGGCTTTTAACCAAATAAAAATGTAAAGCCAACTTGCTCAAAAATCCATCTGTTTTTCATTTTCATATAATCTATAATCAGGAAATCCATTCATACATGACATATAATTTTTGTGCTTTCAAGTGGATAGTGGAATGTGATGTTCTGCATACAGTCACATCTAAATTGATAATTGTCCAGGCAGAGCGTAATTTTAAAGTATAGGATGAAGGAAGGTTTAATTTGTATATTAGAAGTCTTATACATTTTTTTGCCTCTGCATGTAAATGAGACCATTCTCTTTGGCAGATTTATCTGAAGGTGGGACAGCTGCCTCAGAGCAGGCCACAGCTTTCTGAGTAAAGAGGATACGGTTTAAAGAGCTGGTTTAAATGCAGACTCTTCTTAGCAGTAAACCACATGCATGCATTCATCACTGATTTTCAAATGACGGGTTTCTATATCACTGGTTTAAGGTCCACAGTCTTGAATTCCTGAATCCACATGATACCAAAAGAATAACAATTTGGTGGCTGGAAAGAGGGATGGTTATTATATGGCTCCAAAATGCTAGCTGGCATAATATGCCATGAACAGCAGAAATCTAGTAGTAAAGAGAAGATTACAGCAGCGCTTAAAATAATTTGATGTTCCAAAAATATAAATGTAAGACGTGTTATCACTGTTCAAAATATTTTACATTTACATTTACATTAGTAAATAATATAAAGGCCTGGCTAAAGTTTCTGAAGACTGAAGTTTGATAAGGGTGCATTCTTTCCCTTAATTTTAATAGAAAATTATATGAAGTTAGTCTTCTGTGGAAAGTGAGAGTTTTTTCTTGTAAGGATTTATTTTCCCCAGAAGACACAACCATAGAAAAGAGTATATAAATCACACAATATGCTGTTTATCATTAAATATCTCAGGTAGTATATTGCAGAATAAAAGATATATATATATAAAATACTTTAGCTTCATTTTCACTCTCTGAACCAATGCTTGTCGTACAACATATTTCACAAGGTAGCTTTACTTCCTGTTGTTAAAATACCTCCTGTACGAAACCAGCACCAGAGCAACCCTGCATTTGCTTCAGTTTCTTCTGTCGATCATTTCCTCGCATAACTGTTTTGCAGTATTCGTTTGTGTACAGTCACATTCTAAAAGGTGCTGTAGTTTCTAGAGAAAAAAATATATACTTTATATTCCAAATGCCCCTTATAATTTCACTATCTCTAACAATGCATAGCATTAATTAAAGCATAGTATGTATCAAGTCTATGCTGAGAACAATTGTTTGTTTAAATTTAAAAAAAAAAAAGCCTACTGACACAAAATGGAAAACTTGCCAGCGTTCTGCTGGTTTAAGTTGATAAGAATAAAATACACTTTTTAGGTAAATTAATTTTATTTCATTATCTGTAAGCTATTATCAAGGAAATAACAAGATTAACTGTAAAGAATATTTTTATTTTAAAATCTCTCAAATTATCTGTGTTCTTCTAAGTTTTGATCATAATTCCATTTTGCCGAGGCTTGGGAGATGGTTATAAGAAAAATCAAGAGAACAAACAAGCCTGGCAAGACCAGTGGCTAAAGGTACCTAACGAATAAGGAAGTCAAGCACTTTGTGATACTTTTCCTGTTGTCCAAAACTTAATGGTTACAGTTCAAGGTCTTCCAGAGCCTGAAGTGTTTTTATGGTTAATAGCCTTTGCAAGATTTTTCTTCCATGGGTTTTCTGTTCTGGTAAATACAATTAACTGATGTGCTTACTGATTCAAAATATGATTTAATGTTAGTCGCACTTGGACGCACTTCATTAACGTAACTAGAAAACAGATTCACTTGCATTTACTGTCACTTTTATGACCACATCACAGATTTAACAAATTTAGTTCCGTAATCCATTTATGTCCAGGAGGGCTATAAACCCCATTTCACATGTGAAAAGAGTGAGGCACTGAGTACCTCCCTGACTTCAGTACTGCAAAAGAAATGGTGTTGGTGCAAGGCACCTACCACCACTCTCCCTAACTCTTCTTCTGACACTGTTCCTGGGTGGTGTGTCACAGCTTGCTAGCTGTGAATTAACAGTGAGCCCAAACATTTGGTCTTCCTAACACTCGTCTTCCCTAACATTTTTTCTACCAGTATTTGTCTGAAAGTTTTCCCTTGCTGTATTAGTTCTCATATGAAGGTAGTATTATGACTGGGCAGTTTCTGTATTCCTCTTGACCATGTTGAGGCAGAATTTTAGTACTACACTACAAAGTTGTCTCTTTCCCCAGACCTTGTAGGTGGGACATGAGACTTCATGGATGGAAAAGGAAGGTCACATTTTTAGTGCGGTGGTAGGTCAGTAGCAGTACAGATACACACTTGCCAGTACTACTTAGTGAGAGAAAGAAACCCTTTTCTGAAAAATAAAATAGGAGAAAAAAAAAAAAAAAAAACTAACGAAGCATTTGCCTGTCAGAGCTCCTGGGGTTTGCAGAGAGCAGCAAAGAGATGAAGATGAAAGATATAGAGGCATTCTCCAAATAAGGCTATGCTCTTGCTCTCATTGACTTTAGTGTTGACAGAATCAGGTCCAAAAACTGTGGTGAGAGAGTGCAAAAACATTTAAGAATCTTCCTAGTCCTACCCCTGCCTTTTCTGGAAATTATAGCTTCACTATACTCATCCTTTGTTTAAAAACAAAACAAAATCATAAACTGGAAAGGGCTGAGTCAGGCATGGCAGAACCTTCCGTAGTTGTCGAGAAAACACTACATAGCTTTGAAGTTTTTTTTTTAAGCCAACTTTTCCTGACTCTTTTGTAAGGAACAAATAAGATCTTTTCTGTTCTGAGTGCGTGGTATATAGTGCTATGTACTATACAATGGTAAACAGAGTCATGTAATCACATTGACCTCGGCACATCACCAAGATGTCAGCTACCATGAGAGAAAGTGTTTTAAGAGCAGTTGTTCCAAACATGGCATGTGTCATACTTTATAACATGTCTTTTTTATAAAGACACATCATACAACACTAGCATTTACCTTGACTTGTTGTATTTGAAAGTTTTAATGTTCGATCTTAAGAAATACCTTTGAGCTTACAATCCTTCTCTCACTTTTTTTTTCCTGTTTTTTCTTTTTCTTTCTTAACAGGAAATGGGTATGGCAACCCCCGCAACTCACCAGGTCTGCTGGTCTCACCTGGCAACTTGAACAAGAATATGCAAGCAAAATCTCCGCCTCCAATGAATTTGGGAATGAACAACCGTAAACCAGATCTCCGAGTGCTTATTCCACCTGGCAGCAAGAATACAATGCCATCAGTGGTAATGCATTTTCAAAGCTTTTTTTTTTTTTTTTTTTTTAAATCTCCTTCAGATAAAGTATTTAAGAATTTCAAGGCCTGCTAAGCCAACAAAAATCAGTAGAATAGCATTCCACATTCTTGATCGTTTTGTCTTTCTATCTAGATAGCCTTAAGTCTTGACAGTGAGCTGAGGATGTAGGCAGATCCTTTTGACTGCATTTATGAAGCCATTTTTACTTCCTCCCTTTTTTCTATGGACTTGCAAAGTAGGAACTGTGTCCTGCACAGTCTGAACTTCTTCACTCTCCTTCCTAGTAGCTTGGGGAGCCTTCCCTGGATTTATTATAATCCTAAATTTAACCCAAAGTACTCCTAACCTACTATATTTTTCTTAAATATTTAGTCATACAGACTCTCAGCAGATGACAGGTTAACTACAAATAAATGAATTTGAACTCTATCACTCTGAGCAACAACAGACAAATTTTAGAATGATGAGAGGTAGTACATAGATAAAGCAGGATAAGGCAGAGCAAGAAACTGCTCTACCTCCTGCCAGGATTAACAAGATGTAAGCAGGCTATTATGATAGAAGGTTGAATCATGAAGGTGTTATGTGAGTATCTTGCAGTTCCCTTCCAAAAGTGGGTTAGTGGTTGCAAGTAAATCTTTCATGAGTGTTTCAACACTAGAAGTGAGCTTGATTAAAAAAAGGATCTTGATGGTAATTTAAGTGATGCTATAAACACATATTTCTGTTATGTAACAGACACTATTAAAACAACTTCCAAGCTGGCTGCTTTAGCCTGATGCATTATAAATTAACTTTGAACTTCAAACTAAACTCCCCACAAATGTGATGCAGGCTTCTGAGAGGTTAAGTAACAAATAATCTCCTACAAGGCAAAGCTCAAAGTCAACCAAGGCAGTGACAAGCTGTCTGCATTGAATGATTTATTCCAAGGTCCTTAAAAATGATACTTTCCAAGGGAATCTGTGAATGGTCAGGTCTCCTGAAACCAGGTATAGCTACACAGTCTGCAGCCACTCAGGCTGTGGAAGAATTAATGAACTCTTAGAGAAAGACTCGTTCTTCAAGCTGGATAGATTGTCCTCGCAGTTGAGAGAAACATCTCGGTAGAAGGACAAAGAAGAGATCTGTGTTATTTTTCCAGACTATGCTCAGAAATTATTTAATTTGCTGCCCCTCTCAGTTGAAGCTATTCACTAGGCTATAAAATCTGCACCCTGGTAAATATCTACATTCACTGATTTTTAATGCTCCTTTCCTATGCACTCAGTCTGAGGATGTTGATCTGCTCCTGGTAAGTGGTAGTGATGTTCATCCTAATAATGAAAGCATAAAATAAAATTAAAAAAAAAAAAATGTTATTTTGTATGTTGTATTGATGAAACGGTTGAAGCCAAACTGAAAACATTATAATACCTATAACATGAACAAAAAAGGTTATCATAAACTTTGAAATCCAGCAATGTGGAAGACAAGGTGCAGTTGTTGCACATATTCAAATTACTCGTGCCATAATAAAGCTTTCCTGGTGCTGATGTTTTGCTAGCATGTAACCTGGTGCTGCTGAGGATGGCACGGCCTTATTACAACTTTTTGGTGGCTCTCTGGACATTTTACCCTGAGACTTCCAAGGTTAGAGCTCTCTGGTGCAGGTTTTGCAGCAAAACGTGCAATGCCCCAGAGCTACAGCAGAACACGTTAGCTGCTGTGCCGCCCAGCGCTCTGGAAGTTTGCTTTATTTCTGCAAAAAACGAAGTGTTCAGAGCACCATCTGCTGGTGAGGGGTCACCACTCAGCAGCCCCAGAGGAGCACAGCAGCCAGGAGGGCCGGGTTTGGGGTTCCTCCCTCTGCCTCCAGTCTCTCCTTTGCATCTGAACAAAAGGGAAGACAATGGGGATGGAGCCTACATATTTCATCAGTTTCTCACACGATCTGTTCCTCTACCCACAACAAAATCAATCTTCCCTGTTTCTAGGGCAGTTACCTAGGAGATACTGATGTAAAGGGTTACTATGGTGACTGCTGGTCTCTCCGAGGCTTGCAAATGATAGGGTTGGCAGAGTTCATAAAAGCCACATGTTAAACGATTAATTCCCAGAAATTTGTACCGGCTTGTGTTTCTTATGCACAAAGCACACCCAGAAAGGTAGTGCGCTCGGATGGCTTAAACCCGGTCAATAATATGTTTATTTTACTTACTTTAAAAGAATCAGAGGATAAATAACTCCCAGTCTGCTCAGTCATTGGCTACTCCAGTGGTTTCCGTAGCAACTCCTACTCTACCAGGGCAAGGGATGGGAGGATACCCATCAGCCATCTCAACAACATATGGTACTGGTGAGTATTGGAGCGCCGTGCGAGGGCTGGGGGAGGGAGCGAGATGCTGACAAGTGTCGGCCGCACTGGTAATGAATTAGCTTCTGTTCCTCGGGAGAAGCTGAAGGATTCATAGCTGATGTGCTTTTACACCTCATTTGCTTACTCTCTATCTGTCACTGACTCGAGAGATGTCTATTTAAAAGCTAAGTTGTTCAAATAGAAAACTGCTAAAAAAAAATACACAAAATAAACTTCTCAAAAAAATACTCAAAATAAACTTCTCAATCCTCTTCATACAACAGGTAATTTCCTGTAGTTGGGTGCACCTTCCTAAAGTCACAAGGGTAGTGCTAGTGAGAAGTTTCACTGGTTTCAAAACAGAGGTCAACATCTTTGTGGGCTGTCACGTAATTACCTGGGAGACTGAAATGAAGCCTCAAAAGAGCCTCAACTTCCCGTTGCACATTGCTATTATATAGATCATGTTGGTCTGCAGATTCTGTCCTTCTAGAGAAGACACGCACTGTTCAGACACTGGCTACGCACCAGGTTCTGCAACAAAGACTGTAACCAAGTGTTACAATATTTTTCAACTTTTTGACATCGTCAGAATGCATGTATAGTCACGTTGGTTATATAAAGACTAAGAATTCTTTGGATCTCGCAGACCCAGAAAAAGAGCCAGTAAATTATGGAATAATTATTAGTGCATTATTTGCTACCAACTTAATGAGTTGAGGGAAGCGGAGAGTCTACTTTTTCTGCTGCAACTGGGTGTGATTGGTGTAATTAAGATAAAAAGGCTTATAAAGTGTCATGTGAAAATTATGATGCAAGTTATTGTTTAATTGCTTCCTCCTTAATTCCCTTTTAATCATTTTCTGTTCTATTTTCAAATCTAGAATATTCTCTGAGTAGTGCAGATATATCGTCTCTCTCTGGATTTAATACAGCCAGTGCTCTTCATCTTGGTTCTGTGACTGGCTGGCAACAGCAACACCTACATAACATGCCGCCGTCTGCCCTCAGTCAATTGGGGTAAGCAGTGTTTTCTTTAAACTACTATATTGTTCTACAATGTCTTCAGTATCCCCAGGAGTCCCAAATATGCAATAAATCAACACAACAGATCAGCACATACTTACTATCTCTAAGAGCTCCATTTCCCCAGACTGGTACAACATATTTCATGAAAAGGTTGCCAGGTAGCTAGAATGGAATATTCTGTGTCTATGACATTTTCTCAGTAGTGGTTATGTTTTACTCTTTATTTTTTTAAATGGCATTTTACCTCACAACAAGGGCAAAACTAAACACTTACATCGTGCTGTTGTATTTCGCCATTATGCTTTTTATTTCCAGTTACTATAGCACAAACATTTACAATAAACTTGGAATTTTTCCAAATATTTTTAATCAAGTAAGGGTTACAAAATTATTTGACCTGAGATTAAGCCTCAGCTTTATATAAGGCTCCCTCACGTACTCCCTTCTACTCAGTTCTGACATTCAAGTTTCGTTTCTTTGGAAATGTTTTCTGCAAGCAAATAACATAACTAGGTCTAAGAATCAGTAGACCCTTAGAACTCATGGTGGTTTGCCTACGTTGAGGATAGGTGTTCGTGCCCTCTAGTGGCTAATTTCAAGACATTTCTTCCAAAATGGTGAAGCACTCTGCTAAACTGTTTCAATATTTTTAAAAGTCTAAAACTTCACACGGGGAATTTACCTAATGCATTATTGAAAAATAAACCTAATTGCTTATTCAAGTGAATGCGACTAGTAAGATTTTCAAAAATCCTCATATCTGCAGTTTCTGTTGAGTAAGGTTGTAGTTATTCACTGGTATGCCTACATGCTTGTACTAAGGTTTGGACAGAGATGTTTGGATTTATCAAGTTTTCATTGTAAAAATACAAACTGAAGCAACTAAGGTATATTTATGAGACAAATTTAATTCTCAAGCATTTGAAAAGCAAAGTTCTTTCCAGAAAGAGGCATTGCACAAGTGCAGTAATTTTTGCAAGACAGTTGCCATAATCTGAAAATATTTAATACTATAAACATGGTTTAAATTTCAAAATTCACCTTCTAATTTATCTGACCACATTTTATAACTTACTGTAATTTCTTTACCATGTACAAATGGGTTGAATTTTTAAAGAACAGCTATACAAGTGCCTTAGAAGAAGCATAGACTTTTTGAAACACCACATATATAAGCATACGTGGATACTTTCTACATAAAAACATAAAACTGAAATAGTTGGTGTGTTAGAAAAAGTAGTCTTAATACATTTCTGCTATGCTTCTTCTATTTTCTTTTTGAGGTTGCAGTGTTTCTGGGGCAACATTTAGGTTAACTGTACAACTAAAGACATAACATCTCAAATAAATTGAAAGCTCACATGTTAGGTATCAATGTATAACCTTACAATAAGCTGATTGTTTTCAGTGGTGTACCAAAGAATGTAATAAGGATATTTGGTTAACCAAAAAAAGTATAAATTAAATCCTAAACTAACTACATGCCTTTTCAGATATGTCACACATCATCATCTGTTTCTAATTCATATCACAGAATGCCGAAGTGTAATGGCTGTGGCTGGTGGAATACATTCTGAGTCGCTACTTTTATTATTATTCTTTCAGTGATTTGTAAATGAATTCAGCTATGAAAGCTGCTTCACTGACAGTTCTGATGAAGCCTTCCATGTGTGCAGAAAATCACATGCATTTCTTTACTTTATTTTAGTCACTGAGCTGTACATGCAAAAGGACCTATTCTCTAACTTTTGGATTATTTAAAAAACTTGAAATTGTACAGATCATATTTAGTCCATGTCAGCCTAAGCTAGAATTAGCAGAAAAATAAGAACAAACACACAAAAGTGTAGTAAACCCCAGGCATTTGAGAAAATGCATGTAGAAAGATTTGACCACCCGTATCCTGAGGAAATCTTTCACATGTTGGAAAGATTTGGAAACAGTGAGATGTTTGTTGGTAACATTTGGCTGTAAAGATCTGCAAAAGAACAGTTACTGGAAGAAATGACCCAGTTCTCCAGCAGGTTTTGTTTTACACCAGAGTACAAAGGTGAAAACCAGTTCTACTTCTGCAAGGCACGGCAGAAGTATGTGGTTAGCAATAGAATAGGGGATACTCAGGTACATTGGCTGGCTCCATATAAGTCCCCAGCAGTTTCAGCAGCACTCTCACAACCATCTTTCAGATAACTGTAGAAGATCTCTACAACCCAGGTCTAACCTGTCACATTGACCCTGCAATTAGCAACCATACCGGTGCCAGTGAGCCTCAGGGAAAGTGTCTGAGGAGATGGGAATAGTTCACTTTCCGTGCTTGTACTAAGCCTGGTGAACAGGACAGAAACATAGAGTAGCATCTCTTTTGACGTGACTATGATACTAAAACAAGTTAGACTTTTCAACATTCTAATTAAAAAACAAAATAGTACTTTTGCAGCTTTTTAACTAGGTCTATGTCTGGAAAAAAAATACACATTAATTCTATTAAAAATCAAAATGTATTCCTCCCAAAACTTAAGGGTTTTGTCTGAATATTGCTGCAACATCTCTCATGTTACAGAGAGAAGGTTACATCATTCCTAATTTTGAAATGAATAATCTAAATTCTTTAAGCACCAGTCCATTAGATAGAAAATGTTCTCATTCTGTATTTCTCAGTTTAAGAGAGGATCTTTTCTTCCTCAAGTACCATCCACAGTTGAAATTTTGGCTTTCCTAAAATATAAGTGCAGGCATAGAAGTGCAGCCAAAGTATTTCGTTTTGAGAATCTTCAATATAAACAATTGTTTACGTAAGAGAAGTTTCTCCAAACTTCAGCCAAGCTGAATGAAAGATTTACTCAAATAAATTTATGCTGTTGATTTGTTCTGTATTTCTTATCCAGCAAGCTTGTTATCAGAGCTAATTTTGATTAGCTCATTGCCAGAGATAGAGATGGTTAAATATTTTCCTTAGAACATTTTTTACTGAAAAATTTAGATGCAGTGACATCATGTTTTGTGAATTTATGTATCATTTTTGCCAACTTGATTTTTTTGAATTAAAGCCTTAAATATTTCAGGTAGAGAATTTTTATTATGCCACCATTGTAAATAAGATACTCTAGTGGTTCAGGTTCATAATATTCTGTGTTTAGAAACTTCCTTTAACAGTGTGGACCATAAAGTGCGAGTGCTGATCAAAATATCTGGACACAGAAATCATTATTCTGCTTTTACATTGATCAAAAAATATGAAAAACAAAATAATATAAAAACAAACAAACAAACACAAACCCTTTGCTTCTACCTGAAAGACAAACAGAGGAGGGGAGGGAAGGTTGCATTACAAACAGGTCAAAAATATCCAGTATTCTCTAAATAAATAACTAAATTTTACTGTGAATTTTCTATTTCCTAATGAATATATAAATTCATATATATATATTAAATATATATATGAAGCAGAAAGGTACACAGATTTAGAGAAACAAGTTTATAAGGAAAAGGAAAGAAACGTGAGGTGCTTTCTTCCTTTAATAGTCACTGTATAATGTTGAACCTGGATAGGAACCAGCACTTCTCCCATGTGGCTGCTAAATCAACGTCACATTTGTGCTCACGCTGATCTGAGCAGAAACTGCTGTGTAAAATTTAAACTTTACAGGGACAATGAGGAAGAGGAAAGTTACATGTTTTCTTACAATAAATATAAGGAAACAGATGATTACATCAACAATAATGTATTGTGTGGCACTTAGAGAGTGCTTGTAGTTATACACAATCCTTTAAAGTCATTTGCTTTATTTTCTCTGTGGATTTTCCATATTCAAAACCTGTTTGTTTTTCAATGAACTTAGTGCAGGTTTCACATGATGAAAATCGCACAAGCCAGAACCCAAACTGCATATTTATATGAAGCTGTTTCTACATTCACACACATGCATACACAAAAATAAATAAATAAATAAATAAATAAATAAATAACATAATAAAAAAAAATACTAGCAAAAAGAATTATATATTTATAATACAGCTTCTATTCCAAATAGAGATCCATTCTCTGCTGAGAACACAGCTTAAAGACTGCACCTAAGTAGGCACTCTTTCACCATTGACTTCTATGTGTAATAGTAGGTTTCCCTTGCCTGACCTTTCCCTTGATTGACCATATCAGTTTACATGAGATTCTGGTAAAAACATTTCAGAAAATTTTAACCAAATATGTGGATTGCAGACAACAAAAACAACAAAAAGATAATAAATTTCAAAATTTCAAAAACAGATTTATCAGGGAAAAAAAAAATCAGACAGAATTTTAAAAGAAAAATAAATAAATAAGGCATAGCAACAGCTTAAATATTTCTATTGTTTAAAACCTAGAAAAAAATAGTCCTTACCTGCCAAAATGTCTTCATAAACCTTTTTTTCAATTTACAAAAAATGTCCTCAAAATGCAGACCCACCTGTAGCATTTTTAATACTGCCAAAAGCTTTCATGCCAGGTGTTTACATAATGCATCTCAGAAAGCACAAGGAACCTAAAAAAGAAGGTCTATCGAGATGCATTCTCACATTCACTTCAGAAACACTGTTAAGAAATCAGCATTGCACAGTATCAGTACTAAATCTATTTGTTAGGTAATACAGCTATTCTGTCTAGTTTTTTTGGGGGGTTGTCCCAGAATAGAATGTGAGTAGGGTCCATGTGAACAAAATTGACTGACTAATGCTGTTTTTAACTAGCATGGGTTTTTAACTGTCCCCTGCTTTGCAAAGTGACACATCATCTGGTCACATCAAACACTCCTAGATCAAATCCCCGGGATCCACCATTCTGTATTAAGGCACTTGCAGGTTTAGCTATAAGCTTGACATCCAAAATCATATGTAATCTTATCACACTTGCTAAACCGGCAGCCTGTTTTCCCACCTGAAGTCCTAGCATCTCCAAAGGAACTGAAAATTAAAGTCACTGGAAATGAAAAGCAAAAAAAAAAAACAGGAATGTATTTTTGATTCTTGTTCTATTCTTTTCAACATTTTTTTTGAGAAAAAAAAAAAAAAAGAGAGAGTGGAATATTTCTCTAGAGTGTAATAACCAAGTTTGGTATTTACAGTTTCTTAAATATGTTAATTTCGTAGTTATAAAAGAAAAAGAAAAAAAAAAAAAAAGTCCTCTTTGCCAAAAACTGCCTACGTTTGCTCCTGTGAGGGCTATTACTCACATACTGTGTGACGTTGCAAATGCTGACACACTTGTCTGTATAGGAATTAAAGGTAGATGAAAGCAGTTGGAGGCAGAACATCCTGTTTTCTCTGTTGTCTAACAAGACCCATCCATTATTAAACACTGAAATGATTCCTGAAAACAGCATCTGATATCATTTAGTAATAACGCCATACAGTTCCACTGTAAATCTGTCAAAACAAAAGAAAATGACATTTTGGCTTTCATCAGTTACAGTAACTGTTGCTTAAGTAAAGCTCAACTCGCAGTCAGTGAGATATTAGAAAATGTGGAATACCTCAATAAATGGAAAAGACTACATCTGAACTTATTTTTTGTTTCCTCTACATGTTTAAAAAAAATACTTCTGAATCCAAGTATTTCTTCTGCTTGCACCTTTGGGTTTAGAGTCTCAGTGAGGCTGAGTGTCCTGTTGTCCCACTGTCTTCAGTATTTCTCACTACTAGAAACCTTGAAATTGTGTCTTTGGGTTAGACTGTATCTTCAGCCTAGCAGATGGTCCCTGAAGTGGATCAATACATAAGACATGGAGGGAAACATACATTCATAGCTGAATTTTATTTAAATATAATAATAATAATAAATAATAAACAAAGTCAGATTTTACCGGTAGGTGGCGACTTTGTACAGAACATTCTGCAGATGCAAGCCATCTCATTTTCTCCCATAGAACTAAAGTACTCACTGGTACCCTGCCTACTTCAAATTTCTTGTGCCGTTACCTGCCCACAAAGATGCACTGAAAGAGAACGAACTCAGAACAGGCATACAGCCTCTGAATACTTTTAGAGTATCAGTTTCTCTTGAATTTTGAACATCCTCTGAGCTGGGTTGTCTGACATGCAAGCACGGCAGTCCTCTGGCATCTTCCACAGCTCTTCAGCTTCTCTTTGGGAGTTTATTCACAAATGTTCTGTGTTGAATTAAGAATTAATAGAGCTATACTATAAAGCCATACCTAAATCCCACCCGGCCTATGTAATTTTATAAATGTTAGTCCAAGGACCAGTAAGTTCAACTCTGTTCTGAAAGAGATCAAATGTGCAGGGCCAAAATTTTGGTTTCTGTTTTACATCTGAAGTTTCATGTCAAAATGAACAGGGACAAATGTAATTGAATTGATCCCGGCAAGATTCCATGCCTCCCCTGTCTCACACGGTGCCTACACACACACAAGCATTAACGATAACGAAACCTGCAGGTGGTTCCAACAGTGCAAAGGCTCAGCTTCCCAAATTTGTTGTGACTCTTGAGGAGACAGAGAGAGAGGCCTACTCACAAACCTCAGGCATGCCCCACTCAAGCCAACTGTTTTTGTCCCAACGTTTCGGCCTCTTTGTATTTCCAAATTGTGCCCGGAAAAGCGTCCCCGTGCTCTCTGGTACTGCGTGAGCCTTTACACTGGTGTTTTGTGTGAGTGTTTGTGCATTTCCGGGGGCTCCATGCCTCCTCCGTCTGTAACTGGGTTTCCTTTCCTCCTACAGAGCTTGCACTAGCACTCATTTATCTCAGAGTACAAATCTCTCCCTGCCTTCTACTCAAAGCCTCAACATCAAGTCAGAACCTGTTTCTCCTCCTAGAGACCGTACCACCACACCCTCGAGATACCCACAGCACACGCGCCACGAGGCGGGGAGATCTCCCGTTGACAGCTTGAGCAGCTGCAGCAGTTCCTACGACGGGAGTGACCGTGAAGACCACCGGAACGAATTCCACTCCCCCATTGGACTCACCAGACCTTCGCCGGACGAAAGGGAAAGCCCCTCTGTCAAGCGCATGCGGCTCTCTGAAGGATGGGCGACATGATAACATTATTATCTATTAGGTTTTCTTTTCTTCTTCTTTTTTTTTTTTCTTGCAGTGTGTGTGTGCTATACCTTAATGGGGGAGGGGGGGGTCGATATGCATTATATGTGCCGTGTGTGGAAAAAAAAAACAAACATAAAAAAAAAAGTCAGGTACTCTGTTTTGTAAAAGTACTTTTAAATTGCCTCAGTGATACAGTATAAGGATAAACAGAAATGCTGAGATAAGCTTAGCACTTGAGCTGTACAACAGAACACTTGTACAAAATAGATTTTAAGGCTAACTTCTTCTCACTGTTGTGCTCCCTTGCAAAATGTATGTTACAATAGATAGTGTCATGTTGCAGGTTCAACGTTATTTACATGTAAATAGACAAAAGGAAAACGTCTGCCAGCAATGGCAGGCCTTTACTGAGAGAGAAAGCAGCTGTTATGCAACATATAGAAAATGTACAGATGTTTTGACAGACCCAGCAGTTGGGTGGCCGTGAATCCATGCTAGAAAAAGACTGGGTCACCTAACGTAGTGAAAATGCTTGGAAACATGCAGGCATATCTTTGGAGTATGGCACTCAGTTTAAGAAGGATCAAAGCATTTACAGAGGACCATACTTGTAAAAAAAAAAAAAAGAAAAAAAAAAAGAAAAAAAAAGTTGAGTTCGAGGGCTAACATATTTAATTTTAACAAATTCTGGGTCTGCATCACTTATTAAATAAAAAAAAATATAAAAATATGTACATTACATTTTGCTTATTTTCATATTAAAAAGTAAGACAGAGTTTGCAAAGCATTTGTGGCTTTTGTAGTTTCCTTAAGCCAAAATGTGTTCTTTTTTCCTTGATAGCTTCGCTAATCTTTTAAACAGTCCTGAAGAAAACAGAGGACTTTTTGTATAGAAAGCACTACCCTAAGCCATGAAGAACTCCATGCTTTGCTAACCAAGATAACTGTTTTCTCTTTGCAGAAGTTTTGTTTTTGAAATGTGTATTTCTAATTATATAAAATATTAAGAATCTTTTAAAAAAAAAAATCTGTGAAATTAACATGCTTGTGTATAGCTTTCTAATATATATAATAATTATGGTAATAGCAAAAGGTTTTGTTATCTTAATAGTGGGGAATTATATTTGTGCAGTTGCACATTTAACTATTTTCTTTCAGTTTTATTTTACTGGGCATACATTTTACAGATCGAAGTCAGCTGTTGAGAGACTGATCTGTAAAAAGTTTGAATTTACCCATGGTGTAACAACTTAAAGTCATTTTAATACAACATTTTACAATCAGTTGAGTGAACTGCGATTCATTGTATATACTGATTAGTTCTTTCATGCTGTTTTGTGCATTGTAACAAGTTGAGGGCCCTTCTACTACTTCACGTCCTGCGTATCTTGTAGATTCCCGTGGGGTAAATGACAAAGCGGCATCGCTTGGCACTTCCTCACAAGCGAGGCTGGTATTCTGCCTGTTAGAATCGGACGTACAGCTCTAGCGGCTGCCAGTTACCTGAGCGCAGGTGAATGTTTCCAGGAGCAGTAGGGAGAGCAGCGGGCGAGGGATTGGCTCGGCAGTCCCACCTGTTGCCAAGGTGACTCCCCTCTCTCAGATTTAAAGCTTTCAGAGAGACCGCCAATTACAGGACCAGTTTGCAGTGCGCGGCCGATGCTGGCGGCCAGGCCGCTGTGTTTTTCACGGACCTCTGCAGTCACGTTGTCTCACAGTGGGGACGTTGCTGGACAGTGCTGCCCATGCATTTACGCCCTAGAAAGATTTGCTTCGGCATACGGCGCCCGCCTTTTCTCCTGCCTCATATCGTTTCTTCGACTAAAACAGCTTGACCAGAAGGGAAGTATTGTGGTTTTTTTAGTTCCTCTCTTTCCCTCTTGCTTATTAGAAGAAAATGGGATGTTCACGTGTTTCAGTTTAACCTTTCTGTTGGAGGGAAACTGTGTTCGAGCAACATGTTAGTGCCATAGTAGGACTGTAATCATTCTCTTCTTTCTGAGAGCTGTTTCAGCTCTCGCTCACGTACCTTGAGACTCTGATGAAGGACACAGATATGCTGCAACAGGTAAATATCAGCACAGAGCATTGTCTTAGGGGAAATATACACTCTGTTTCCCTTCTAAACACACAGTTGCTGCACACTGCTCGATGGTAGAGTCTACCTCCCTGTAGCAGCAGATGACTAACAGACTGCAGCGTGCTTTAGGACATACGCTTTTCACTTACCGTGACTTACAGAAGCCTGCCTTACAGGCACTTTCAGCCGCGCAGGGGCTTGTGCATTATCTGGAAACTACTTAAGCAGAATACTGTGCTAATAATGCATCCACCATATCTCACGTAGCGATATGCAGGGTAAAAGAAAAAGATACGCATGTTAAATAAAAATAAAAAATTAAAAAAAAAAAAAATCGGGAGGGAAATGGGGCCCGTAATTAATTTTAAAACACAAAACTGTTTTTCAAAACCACTTTCTTCACCTTCAAATAAATCTATACTCATATTCTCTTATGAGAATTTTAAACTTTGGTGTGTCAAAAATATGCAAATATATCGCAAATGTACTTTGACATTTCAACAAGAAATACAACTTTATCAGTATTGTAGTAGAAACTTGTCAGTGGGGAAGGGGATTTGGTCTATTGAAATATGAAGAATAGCCATATAAATAGTTTACCTTGCGATTTGCCTCAGCAACGCATGAAAAAGAAAAGATAACATATTTAAGGAAGATGCAGTGTAATATATTACTGCAAGTAACTAAGCGGAAAGTAGCGTGAAACGTATTGCCTGGGCAATGTATATTAATTCTGACAGTGATTTTTATATAAACACAAATAGAATAGAATCACGTGAAAATTAACGCCAGTCATCCCTCTTGTTCCTGCTGCTGAGGGCAACTAACATGTACTGGCGAAATTGTGGGGGATAATGCATATTTGCAAACTGATCTAATGATAAGAAGCACAACTTTGATTGTGAAGTCACTTTCTGTAAACTATAACTGTCTACCTTTCTCTGTTCCTTTATCTGTACCTTACCATTTATTGTATTTGCAAAGCTTATTTGGGTTTATTGTGTGATTCCTTTGTATTTAAGGAGTTTGGGGCAGAGCCCTGAAAGAGTATTAACATTTACTTTACCTTAACCCATGCTATATAATGTTTTAGGCAACATTCTTAATTGCAAGTTCAAACACCTGAAGTGGCATTCTAGACATCTGCAAGTATTGTTATAGCTAAGTTAACCTCTATTAAAAGGTGTTGTTGTTTAGTGTTTAATTGCTGGTGACAATTATATGATATACCCAACCTGCACAATCTGTATATTGTACGCATTGAGCCATTCACAGTAAAGCTTTTATCATTTCAGTGTTTTTCAAAAGTTGTGTTTTATAACAAAATGGCTTATATTTTTCCTGGAAGAGGAATTTAGCAGTTTTTAATGAATAATATAAAAATATCTGTTGTCATCAGATCTTTTTCAGGTAAAGCTAACACAAGAATAAAAGAACTCATAGACTGTTTTCAAGGATGTCAACCCTTTTGTATTGTATGTGTTATCCTATATACCCTCTTTTATCTATAGTCCTAACAGAGCTGTTTTGTTTTCCTTTTTCCTTCGCCTTGAAGGTAAATGCTTTGTAATTTTTTAAAAGCCACTTGAAACCTCAATAAAGGCTGTTGCCTAAGCATGGCATACTTCATCTGTTCCTGTTTGTGCCATCTGCTGTGATGTCGTCAGTTATATGGCATTAATTTCCTGCCACTACAGGTCTCTTGAAGGACTGATGGAACATTGGTGTCTGTTAGAATGCTTCAGACTGTAGATGTAATAAAAGGCTTTTGTTAATATATTTTAACCAAAGATGTGGAGCAATCCAAGCTTTGAGCCACAGACCTTCTGCATCAAAAGGATCCATTTGATTATTTTCATAATCAGGTGTTGCATTTTTACCTTCCCTGTTCATACCTCAGACTGATCCGTACCTCAGTTTGAATCAAAATGGTCAGTTTAGTAACTCATTTAAAAAAAAAAAAAATTTAAAAAAAAAAAAAATTGCAGTACCAGAGTCTTTTGTGGAGTAACTAATGTCAGACCTGGGTTACCGCAGGCATTACACTTGGATTGCTTCAGATGGTTTGTTGTATCCTTTTTTTTTCTTTTTTTTTTTTTTTCTTCTCTTTCATGGGGATCTGCTTCCATAAAACAATGGTGATAACAAAATAGCTTGTAAATGGGAGCATACAAGCATTTGCAACAAATATTAAAGTAGAGGCTCACAGCGGCATAAGCTGGACTTTGTCGCCACTAGATGACAAGATGTTATAACTAAGTTAAACCACATCTGTGTATCTCAAGGGACTTAATTCAGCTGTCTGTAGTGAACAAAAATGGAAAAATTTCAAAAGATTCTCCTGCTGGAAATAAGGTATAATTTGTATTTTGCAGACAAATCAGTAAAGTTACTGGCTTTCTTAGTGATACGGTGTCTGTGGTGTATTTTTTATTAATTTAAATTATGTTCCGTTTTTAGTGTTTTGCACTGTCGTATGTGAGACAATCAACACTTTTAACAAACGGAAGTTTCTTGAGGTCTCTGTACCTGTCACTTGTGCTTGGCTAGAAAATCAAGTGCCTTTTTGTGCCGCCCTGAGCATCTCAGTGCCCCACCACACATCATCCCACCAGGCATCATCCCACCAGACAATCGGGGAAACTCCAATGGCTCTCACTTCGCAGGGAGGACTATGAACAAGGGAGTTCATGGCCAAATACCCTTAAGGGTGTGACATTGAAATCCTGTCTCATTAACTTCAATGAACCTGGATTTTAATGATTGAATTGTGTTCTTTGGGCCAGAAATTGAGTGATTGTAGCAGTGCTGCCCTGGAAGTCATGGCATGAGCCTGCCTGAATCTGGCCCTGATGTTTGAGCTAGAAGAGTAGCTAGGCAAGATACTGCCTGGCTTCTAGCTATTTAATCCCTGACAGGGACCCAGACTCCCTAATATTCATGTCCTGTAACTCCTACCAGTGCAGAGAACCATGCAAGAAACACATAAAAAGCATGCTCATTGTCTACATCATTTATCATTGGACCTATCCCTTATATGTGTATTCTCTAACATGCCATAACTTCATAGGGACTGTGTCAGAATTGATCTGTTTGCTCTTGTGCATTTTTGGGGTGTTTATTCCCCACCCCCTACCCCACAACATTTATAGTTTTCAGTTCTGAGAATACAAGGATCACTTTATTTCAACCAGATGTTTTTTAATGCAGACAACCTATTAATATCTTAAGGTGCTTAGTGAATGTGGCAATTTCCATAATAGCATTACAAGGCCTAGTTTCTAAATATACTTGTGAAAGAAAACAGCTGTGCTGTTATTTACCTGTTGCCTGTAATGACAATTTTTTTTTAAGCAGCAGTGTTTCTAGTATTGGAGTGCTAGACACAGCATAATAATTAGATGCTAAAACTGAGATTAAATGTCAGTGGTTTTATTATGTAATATGTTTTCCTCAAGAGAAACACTATTTCTCATTATTGGCAAGGATAAGCAAAAGATTTCTGGAAAAGCAGTGGAATATTGTCTGAAATCTTACACAATTCACATCTGGGAGTACAGGCTCCTGCAGTCAGTCCTCTGTGTGATTAGCAGTGATAGCACTACACCTGTGTTGAAAAAGGAATTGCTTAGCAAATAGTTTTTTGCATTGTTTGTTTCGTTTTGTTGTGTTTTCCTCCCAGAACATAATCATATATATACAGATTACTTTGCTTTAGATGCTCCGAACATTTTTAAAATATGTGTGTTGCAATACAAGTGTGGAGGTCACAAGTTCTTTAAATGTTTCTTACTTCATGCTCACCTATGTCACTTTGAAGAGCAATGCTGAAGTGAATGGTCTGTGGCACCTGAGGGTTTTTGCATTATGCCTCCCAAGAGAAAGCAGAGGCTGCTGTTCCTGTTTATATTGTTGCTGTTATAGCTGTGACCTGTTCATACCCAACCCTTCCTCAAACACAGTGCCAAACATTTCCCAGGTAAAATACTGAGATGTTAGAGGGTCCAAGGAGGAGGAAGGAGGAATGATTTTAAAACAATCAGGTCCTGTACTCTGGAAACAGCAGAAATAAATTTGGTTATGCCTCTAGTGACAAGCATAGCCTATTCTTCATTAATTCTGCAGAGATTTTATAAGCACAGCAAGGCTTTATCTGTTCCGTGAATGTTCCCACCTACACATATAAATGGAACCCAGGTTTTCTGGGGTTCCTGATTTTGGGAAGCTCAGACATTGTAGCCATAGTAAAGTCACATTTATTTTGTATTCACATGCTGTGCCTGACACTTCACGCTGTGTATTCAGAGCACCTGCAATAGGTAAATCTACTTTGTTCCATGCAGATCATGTACACGTGTCCAAGATAACTTTAATTGTTGTTAGCAGGTGTTATGGCAAACTGCTATTTCTTCTGATGAATGTATTTCTTCCTCCCCTTGCAGCAGATTTCAGAGCATGCAATCAGAGCAGAATGAGTCCATTCTGCCTCAGCTTAATTGCTAGAGATAGTTCAAAGCTAACACAGGGATGCTTTTGTGACTGTTGAATTTGAAATGAATACATCACTTAGAAAAGCTGTGAAGTGTGCCGTTCTAATTGTCTTTTCTACCTTGTTCTGTCCTTGTGCTTCTGGCTGTGATTCATTCGTATCCTGCACAGAGTTTTCAATGACAAGTACTTGTTTTTATTTGTCTGGACAGTGAACCATACGCTGTTTTAGGCTGGAAAACATACTGCCTCATTTAGGGTGGGGAAGGGGAGAGTTTGATCTCTGTTAGCTGTGAAGGTTTCCTTTCTTTGACTGGAGACATGAAGTGGGATACTTATTACTGTATGGGAAAAACTTAACGGTGATAAAGGTAGTTTATTTGCCTGATAAGCATCATTGTGGTAAAACACTTTTTCAATGGCAGCACTTTACATCACCTGTTTTTTGTATTTGGGGGGGTTGCTCTGGATATGTCGTGTAGTCTCACAGTGAGAGCACAGCATCCTGTGACCAGCGTGTATGAACATGTGTTGTATCGCAACAGCTCAAAAGGAAGAAACAAGAAAAAATCTTATAAAATTTGACTACAAAGAGTGGAGGTGCTGAGGTAACAGCAGTCAGATCACCAAAATACCCAACGGAGTTGCAACTGATTGCATTTACCTGCTTACATTTTGAACCACATAAAGTAAATCACAGAGAAAATCATTATAAAGGAAACAATTTCATAATAATAATGTAAAAAATACACCTTCCTGTTTCTAAATATCTCCGTATATGTCGGAAGAGTGGTGTTTGAAATGCAACACATCTGTTTCTCTTTGATACTTATTTATTAAGAAAAAATTGCTTTCCATAACCACAGGGTACTGTACTACGTATTAGTTAACTTGGGAAAGCTGGAAAGAGTTTGCTGACCTAAGTGTGCTTGGCTCAGAGTGAGTAGCCAGGGAAAAGCAGCCGGATGTACATCAGCAGTCTCAGACTGTGGGTACTGAACTTTCAGTCAGCAAAGCTTCAGGCAGCCTCTTGGAGGAGATTGCACTGCGGTTGCTGACTCACAGCAACACTCTACACCTTCAAGGATAAGGCTGTGAAAATATAATACATTTGGCACTTAGTCATCTGAAGTAAATTTGCCTGTCTTTGTGGGAGGCCCAAGTTACTTTTCTGCAACTTTTTTGGTTCGTTAGGAATTTTTTGGAAAGAAACCGAGAACTAAACTAGAGAACGTCATTACGACATTTCTGCAGTTATTTTCTTACCATGGGAAACCCTGATACATAACACAGAGGTTACTACACCTCAGAAGGAATATAGAATATGAAGAGCTGGAGACAGATCTCCTTGGAAAGAGACATTACAAAAAATGTGAGTCTTCAGCTTGGAAAATAAATGAAATTGGCAGTATATCTTTACCTGAAGGGTGTGCAGACAGCAGATCTGCAAGGAGCTACTGTGTGTGCTCTCCCAAAAAATATGGGAACCAAGAGATGTCCAAAGAAAACATCAGGCATCAGGTTCACAAGGAAATATGACATCCACATTACATGTCGTTACGTAGTGGGACTTACTGCCATACAATGCTGTGGAAACCAAAAACCTGGGTAAATCCTTAAGGAGTCAGGCAAGTTCACAGGACACAGCTCCATCTGTCCTATAAAGCATGACAATACTTTCACAGCTACCCACCGAAGGAGAAAAGGAAGATTTTCCATTGCTTATTGCTGGAAAATGAGAGGTATTTTAAGGGAGAATTCTTATATGCCCTCTTGTTTTATGTTCTTCTCCCTGAAAATCCCTCACAGACCTCCATCAGGGAGAAGATAATTAGATAAATCACATAATGTAACCAACCTTTTTTTTTTTTTTTTTTTTTCTTGTAAACCCTTTTTCTCTGACTATGCATATTGACTTTGCAGTGAGAGGAGTTAATGCAGGACAAATGAAGAAGTCAGCATGCACAATAAACCCAGAGCTAAGACTGTCAGACTTCTCCGTTTAGTATGGCTTTGCTTTTCCAATACTGTGGGGCACACACAGTTAAGTGTAAGCATGCACCTGCTAATTTATTTTGAAACAAGGAGGCAAAAGGAGAAACTGCATAAATTACAGATGCACGGGTACAGTTAGAGATGAGTGATTGGTAGAATTAAGGTGTGCACATACAAAAAAAGATACAATATGAGAGTGTGTGGGTATGGGGGTAAAAATGCAAACAGAGAGGTGGCACAAGAGCACAAGAGGGATTTTTAGGTACCTGCAAAGTGCCAGCTAATGCGCTGGGACTATTCCCACCAAGAAAAAGAAATGAGTACCATATGCAAATATGCCCACATAGGCATTAAGCTTTAATTATGAAAGCACACAAATGCATAGGACAAATAATGAAAACTTTGTCTAGGGTCAGAGTACCCAGTTACACCGGAAATTCCGTAGAACATGTTAGAGAAAATGTGTTCCAGGTGTCGTGCCAGGGGTTTAAGACTGTTTTTATAAGGGGTCTGCTAGACCAGCTTACAGAGGGATACGCTGGACTAGCCAGCCCTGTGCAGACTTTTTTTTCTGTATCTAGACTGACCACCTTGACAAAAGACATGCTGCATTTTAATTAAAACTACGGGGGCTTAGTGCAAAAGTTCCTGAGTGAAACTCCACAGATATATTATATGGATCACACTCAACGACTTCCAGATGATGATTTCTAATCCATTATCTTTCAGGGTAGACTGAGGTATTTTGGGAGTTTCCAAAAACGCTGTTGTATCTGTGAGACTGTGAACTAGTCAAGTTTATTAATAGTCTAACCATGAAATCATTTAGTGGGAGTAATTTAACAACTCATGGAAAATGCTCATGACAGATGCAGCACAAATATAGCAATTGTTTTTAAAAGTCTTAACTTGTATTACCTAAGCATGTAGAGGCAGAGGCTGAGCCCTCGCCAAATGCAGCCTCCTGCAGTGACTTCTCTCCTTTTGCCCTGTGAATACTAGCTGAACAATTCAGTGTATCAAGCTTTGCTGAAAAACAGACTTTTTCCCAAGATCATAGAAAAAGATGGAAGAAGACAGTTGGACAAAAGAAACAGCAAGAGTAAACAGTCTGCGAACATCATTTCAGAGCCATCTTTCTGAAATCTGTTTGAAATCTCATCTGTTCTAAATTTGAATGGCTAAAATGTAGAAGTTTCATTAAAATGCTTCTAAGGCTAATTCTGATCTAGCTTTCTATACGACAGTGCCAGTATTGCTCAGAAGTGTAAATAGCAATCATTCTGGAGTTTCCAGAACTAGAATCAACCTGCAGGTCAAGCCAGGGAAACTACCAGTGGGATGGCTTCTGATCCTTTTTCAAAAGTAAGGGAACTTGAAAAGAGTAAGAACAGCATGACACTGAACCAGGCTTTGAGAATAGCAAAGATGTCTGATCAACACACACAAGAGTGTGATACAGGCAGGAATTTCTGATTTTTCTTAATTCCTGAATTTAGTAGAGGAAGTGCACACCCTGCCTGCTAAAAATGTAGAAGAGTTCATTCTGATCCAGCGTTATGCCTGATTCCCTCTATTTACGTAGAATGAAATGTCGATATGCGTGAGGTATACACCCAGATTTGATAAAATCTGGGGGGCTTTTCTCCTTCCTACATGAAACCAATACCCTGAGTTTTTCATTGTGATTTCTTTCCACTGATGGCCTTTCAGAGCCTCTCACTCCTAAATTCTAGCTACATATCACAATTGAACTTCTGAGCCAAAATTCATACCATTTTACCTTTTTAGTCGTCGTCATACTGAAACACTTTCAGGACACACTCAAAACCTCTTCCTTGTCTCAATACGCCCCAGAACAAACAAGATTATTTCTGCCTCAGCAAACTCTCCAATGAGCAGCAGTTTTGAGCCACAGTCCCAACTCAGATATCGTTTTAGGGAAGGCTGGTTACAGAAAAGCCACACAAAAATAAGTGCTGCATAGACAGGTAAAAGTGTGTGCATGTATAGTCAGCAGAGCAAAAGCCATAACAAGCTTTCTGCTGTCCTTCCATCCCTTTGGTGACAGAAAGCAGGAGAGGAAAAAAAATCTCTTTCCTCAGCCACCTTCTGCTGTGTCGCCTCAGTTGTGCTCTGGCAAGACTCTGAAGCACATTTCTTTCATGCTGGACCTCAGAGGTTGCTTATCTCCTTCTGGCACATTTAGGATGGGGGACAGAAAAAAATAGACGATTTAATATGAGAGCATATCTGCATGGATTTATATTCAGAACATTTCCTTATGCAAAGTGATATCCTGAAATTTTCCTGAGTTGTCATGATTTTTTATTATTTTTAATATCCCCTCTATACGAGGTGCCAATTTGTCCCTTTTTTATATTTCTGATGATATTTTTATATTACTTACCAGAATGGAAGGCAGAGTGTTACCATACTAGAAAGAGAGCTAATCATACATTTCCAGCAAAAAAAATCATTTTAGTTAGAAAATTTAAGCTAAGAATTAGGGTTCCGTCTACACAGTGCTGTTTAAATGTGTGTCTACACCTGCAAGAAGACTTGGCCATGAAGAAATTGTTTGTGGAAATATTGAAAATCTCCATTTGAGGAGATCTTTGCATGAAGGAGAGTTTCACTGCACTTCTGTAAGTGTGCAGCACAAGAAGACATCAAAGGCTGCTGGACTGGAGCAGAAGGAAGGCTGCAAGGTAGAGGGAGAGAAGGGAGCTAATTCCCCTGCATGTATTTGATACGTCTTTCTGCAGGCCTGAGATTCCACTGTTGGAATTTTTTTCACGTGTGCAGCAATTCACATTTTATGAAAGTCTTGCTTGAGAGGTAAGGGATGCTCATGGTAAGAAAAGCTGGACAGTGCCACCCCAAGGCTGAGCTTAGCCCAGTCTCTCATCACACATTTATTTGAAGATATGGGGTTTTTAGGCCACTGTCAATGCACAAACAAGCTGTACCAAAAGGTTTGTTGTGCATTAAGCTGTAAAATTGCTCTCTGGTTCCTTACTTACTGAAATTATATTTCCCTAGTCAGAAGTTGGAAGATGGAATGTGATAATACATTTATCCCATGGAAAAACAACTCTCCTCACAACACCAAGCACTGGAATGATAACACTATGTAAAAGACTGTAAATTTTCCTTACAGTAGGGCTCACTTTTCAGTAGGAAGGATGACCCCCTACATGTTTTCCATCTAATTCAGTGTCCTATCATGTAAGTTTTTGTAGCTGTGAGAGCGCAGGCTGCCCGCTCCGAGCTGGCTGCTCTTTATGTTGCCAGCTGGGGTCAGGCCATGAAGCCAAGCTTGGATGTGTTTTTGTTGTTTTTTGTTTGTTTGTTTTGCAAAGGCTAATAGCAGTCACCTTCAGACACCTCTGAACAGAGAGCATTAGCCAGACTTAGTCTTCCCGTCTCCTGAATGGCTGCACACTTCTCAGGAAGATAACTGCCAGTCAGACTCTTCTAAACAGCGTTTCAGTCCTGTTTGTGCAGACACAGAGTATGAGGCTTTAGAAAGAGCCTTCCTTTCCATCACCCATGCATTTGGTGATTTTGTCCAAGAGGCAGCCAGTGCCTGAGGACAGCTACGCTTGTTCCTCACCAGAACCAAAGGCAGTTCTGCTGGCTGCACACACACAGCACCCTCTAAACCTTCCCACAGCCTCCTCCTTCAGCGTAAATATTCTGCCTGGGGCCAGAGTGAGGAAAAGCCTCTCTAGCCCTGCTGGCCTGGTGGAAGGAAGAGGCTTGCTCGGCTTTGTAGGGTGTGCATGCACCACGTCCACAGCAGGGAATATGAGGTGTGCACTGAGGCGGAGGGGGCTAGAGCTGAGGGTGGGGTTGCCTCTGCTGAAAGCTGGGCTTTGGAAGAGAAGGGGAACAGCTCCAGGGGATGGGGGAGACATTTCAGAGGCTACCTGGGTCCTGGGCACAGCAGCTGTGGGGCTTTGAGGTGGCACAAGCAGTTACTGCACAGGTGTCTGCATAGGACCACCTGCAGGGAGATGGTCCTTCTCTGAACCATCTATGCCACCACGGGGGATCAGGGGATGTGCTCTGGATCTCTTGTTTTGGACTGCTTACCTGCCTGTATGGCACAGGAGAGAAAAAAAAGTGTCTCTCTAACTGAGTTGTGCCTTTTTTCATCAAAATAATTAATGAAAATGAAAATGGAAATTAAAATGAAAATAATGAAAATAAAAATAAATTAAAATCAAATTTTAAAATAAAATTAAAATTAAATTCTGTGCTCAAAAGAGCTTCACAATGTTTTTAAAGAAAAAATTAGTAATTTTTTCCATTCATTTCCAGTACCCTGTAGACCTTTAATTACAAAATAGTTCTCTTCTAATGAATGCTAGCAGGTTATAATCTTATTTTTAATAACAGAATCAGTGAATAGGCAGACAGCCAGACACAAATACTTTTAAAGGTCTTCATTAAAGGATGCTGCAGGGACACACCAAGCCAGGGCATAGGAGTGCTATGTTGAAGTCGAGGCCACACTGATAACCTTAACCTCCTCCCTGTTCTGAAACCTACAGATATGATTTCGGGCTGTCACTCCTCTGGGCATGCTGCAAGAGACATCTGCTCAGGAAGGGTTTGAGGAAAATGTTTTCCGGAGCAATGCTGGGCCGCAACGAGGCCTTTGTAGCTGTCTGGCTAAGTTCCTGTTTGAAATCATTACTTCTGCTGCTGGGACCTTATAATGTTATTAACTGCGTGTTAGATGCCTAGAGTCTTGTCTAGGCATTTTTCCTCCTTAATTACTACTTAAATTCACAGGAATAGATATTCCTCCTGTGCTGTCTCTGACCATGTCTCCCTCATCACCTCGGCACCTCCCCAGGGACGAGTGTAGGCCTGCAGGCCATGGCTGGGGGAGGCAAAGCAGAGAGGCAGATTTTAAGGCTTTTTGCTGTGTGACCAGCTGCCCCAAAGCCTACCCTCACTGGAACCTTCTCCCTGCCCACGGCAAGGCCAACAGCCACCTGTTTTGGTCTGCCTGTGGGCAAAATCGATCACTAGTTGTGAACTGGATTTGCTGCTGCATCCTGCATCTCACAGGGCCTGAGTAAGGCAAACTAAGCATTTAGTTATGTTTAAGTTAGTTAAATTGTATATATTTTATGCATATAGATAATTAAATTTACTGTTTGTGATGCACAATAACGTAATATAAACTTTTAGGAGACTTTGTGAGACTTTGTAAAATCAGTAGCTGATAGCAGGTACTGAAGAGATATCTTGAAGATGTTCTTCTAGTGGACCTGGTAGACTTTCCTTCATGGAAATCTCTTTCCACTGCCATCTTGTAGCATTGTCACCGCCCCCTTGTGAGCCACCATCAAACAAGGACCTGAGCAGAGGGTCTCAGGTGGTTTGGGACAGGAGCCCATGTTTGTTGGTCATTCATCTACCATGCTGCAGACCAGCTCCAGTGTAGCCACAACGAGTCCTCCCACTGGGTGCTGTCTCTGGCATGACCATGACCACCAAGCCACCCACATCACTGCCCAGACTCAGCCCCAAAACATGTGACACCAATTGGACAACGCCATTTGAACATGAATGAGTCAAAAAGGGAAAAGGGGCAGCTCCTGTGGTTCTTTATTTCATGGTTGCAGGAAATAAAGGGTGCTCACAGAGGGAGGCACATCCCTCTTCATGGGCTGTGTGAAGATTTATTGGGATGAAAACACAACAATTTTGCTCCATGAGCGTATGCATGTTTTGATTCTCCTTACTGTGTAGAGGAGCATGTGGTTTGGCAGCTGGAATTTCTGCTTTCACAGGAACGTCATTTTGCGTCTCGCCTGTGCAAGAAGAGAAGCTGGATACGTGCTGTGCCACCAGCTTTTGTCACCCTCCGCCCCTTTGGCTGCCACTGCCTGCAGCAGAGTGCTACCTCTCCCTCCTAGCAGCAGGAGCAGATGAAACCCAGCCTCGCACACCAGCTGTCTGACGCTCCTGTCCCAGCAATGTATGCTGCAGAGCTGGCACCCAAACATGCCACTCATGTTGGCACCTGCTGCTGTTCCAGAGCTGAGCTAGTCCCTTAAATATCCAGTCTTCCTTCGCTTCAATGCAGACGCCTCACCTGAAACGCCACGCTCCTTGGTCTTGAAGACCACTCAGCCTCTCCTTCTCTGGGGGGCACCTGCTCCAAAGACGACCCTTCTGGGGTGTCTTCTTCCCACCGTGCCCAGGTAAGAGCTGCCTGCCCAGGTGTTTCCAGTTGCTGAGAAGCATGAGATGGAGGTGCAGTGCTCCCACGCCAGTAACATCCCAAATCTGGAATCAAAGACAGGGCTCATACTGAAAGGAGTCCTCAGACGCTCTCACAGAGGACTCTGTCTCCCTCCAGTGACTGTTGAGTGCCCGCAGGAAGCAGCCTCACAAATTATGTGTGTAAGGATGGGTGGTTTAAGTGTTCCCCACAGGCTGGGAAAACAGGGAACCTGAGGTGGTCGCAGCTGACTTCTTGTGCCTCGTGAGCCGCAAAGTTTCACATGAAGCCCTGCACTGAGCTGGCCAATAACCTGCTAAAATACATCCTTGAGGAGAGATAGAAAGAGATAGGGAGCAATTCTCATCCCTGCAACAGGTTGTTAACTCCTGCTGGTTAATGATAAGTGCCTCTGCTCGGCTCACATGGCTTCCCATCTATGATGTGGTTTCCTCATGCAGGGAAGACCCCTTGAGTACCCGCTGTCAAGCTACCTATGTCATGTAAGCAAGTCTTTTTTGGAATTGCCACCACACCACAGGTGTGGTGTACAGTAGTTGTCTTGTGATACACGGCTTTGCCTTTCATTTGCATGTGCTAGAAAATGCCTTGACTCATCCTAATTAGGCACAAATCAAGAATGCTCTGTATAACTGCTCTGAAATCATCACTATTTCCCTCTTGTCCAAACCTGACTTCATCAGAAAATACCCCTGGTTGTGATTTTCTGCTTAATTTCAGAGAGTTAATAAAATATTGGAAAGAACAGAGTCTTCAACTAATTGATGAGAATCTCGTCAGAAAGACACTTATTTGATAGTTTTTCCACTAAAACCTACTTTTTGAGGTCTACTGGTCAAACAGTTCTTAATCCATGATAATGTGTGCTTTACTGATAACCTGATAGTCTTCAGTCAGATAGTAATTTATGGCTAAACAAACAGCACTGTGCAGGACTGTGTGATTGCACTTATCAGCGAACTCAGTTATCTCATAAAACAAAATGATGTCATGTTTGTTTGAGTAAAACAACTTTCCATAAAACTGAGTTGGTACTAGTTGCACACCCTTTCTTCAATTTCTTATTGATTAATTGGGCATCAGTTTCTTCATTGTGCTGACTCAGATTGATGCTAAATTATCTAATTTGTCCTGAGTTAAACCATCTTCCAAATAAAATTTAGGATTGTACAGAAAGATAGAAAATTTACCAAAGCAATTCAGAATTGTTCTCAGTGCTTTGGTTAGTACAAAGAGGGTTGTTAGGGGCAGTAAGGTACACCTTTTGAGAGATGAAAATTAAGTGTGGTTCGCAAAAACTCAATATTTGGTGAAAAATAGTCATAACAACTTCAATTACAACCTGATATATTAAAATATATATTTATACAGGAAAAGCACTGAATTTTCAGACAGCCACTCTTCTGTTATTTGCTGTTATGAGGCTGAGAAGTCTGTGTACAAAATCAGATAGGTTTCACAACAAAGCATCCACTTTTGGTCACAGAGCATGGTATCATGCGACAAAATTACTTATTTCAAAATAAATCATGAATGTGATTTTTTTGTGTGTGTATTTGTTGACACAGGAGACAATAAATATGGTCCCAAAGCATAGCAAGCAAGCAAACTGTTCAAAATTGCCTATGTTCTTCAATAAATAACTAACAAAATGTGTCAACAGTTCAGATTTTGTGCAAGACTGGAGAATAAGCAACATACATTGGAAAAGAAGGAATAAATTGCCCTCTTTTCCCTAAGGGCACTTGCACAATAGTACCATCAAAAAAGATTCTCTTCAATGTACTGAAATCAATGATAACTCAAAGATAGTTAATAGATGATGTGCTGATCTCCAGAACTGACTTTCCCAGACGTGAAAGTTTGGATTTTAAAGAAATTTTGTGTGAAGTGAGGATGTTTTTCTTCAGAAGGCTTTAGATACAACATCCGCCAACTGTGGCTGCATTTTGACTCTCTTTCACAATTTATCATCTGTATTTGTTGTTTAGCAACAGATTGTTGTATACATGACTGCTGCATTTCCTAAGCAGTGAAACTGCAACATTCGTCTATAAATCAGCTGAAGAGAGGAAGAACTGGGACATCATGTTAAGAGAGTTTCTGGTGGCAGGGCAATCAGATGGCTCTTTGCGTTGCCTGACACTCTACAGGTGATGGTCATGATAGTGCCTCTGTCCTCCATCAACTCCAGGATGCACTCAGAAAGCCATGCATTTCTCCTCGTGCTGAGGCATGCATGGAGAGAGAGCATCAGTCCAAATAACTTCTGGAAGCATGTTAACCCTGAGGAAATAATGTTATCAGAGGACTACAGGGACCAGGGGTTAGTTTCTAGGCCCTAGAGCCCTACTAAATTTAATGACCTTTTCAGAAAGACACGTGAGTTTGGAAAGCCTTCAGTGACCATACTGGCAATTTTAACACTTAGTATGCATCCTTCCCAGGCTGCCTTTCCATAATGAAGCAAAATTAAACAGAGTGAGGTCACGTGAAGTGGGTTTTCTCTTCTCTCTCTTTCTTTGACCTCACGATCAAAAGCCAAGATCTGATTGTGCATTTTCATTTAGTATGGTGATACATGACTACAAAAGATGTCAAGAAAACTCTGCCTGACTTGATGATGCTTCTATTCCTGCAATCCACACAAACCAGCTTTATGATGTCGCTGACACCTCTGAAGAAACTCACCACTTTTCTTCTTTTAATTAATAGAGAGTGGTGTTTTTCCATTTAAATTTTTTGGGGAAAAGAGTAGGTTACTAGTAGTGTGAATTTAGTGTATTATGTACTTTATGTTGCTAAAGATGTCCCTCGTGTCTTAGCACTGAGAGCTCATCAGGTTGGGTGCAGCTGAAAAGAAATGCTAAATAAAGGCTCTGTAAGCTAGAAGGAGCCAGAAAGAGCAGCATCTTCAGAGAAGATGCAGTTCTGAAAGTGGATCCAGTCAGTGTGCAACTGGGGTTGTGGAATTCTTAATGAGAAACTGGTCGGTGACTGAGGGTGGATTTGGCAGAGTGGACAAGACAAATGCAGACTTAGATAGTCAGGATGGATGAAGGTGAGGAGGGAGGCTGCAAGCCAGTTGCTGAAGAAACATGGTGCTGCATGTAAGAGGGCAGGCGGGTAAGCAAAGTGCAGGTGTGTTTGGGACACACAGCCTGTGTCACCTTGAGATAAAACTGCAGGCAATGGGAAAGAAATCCCATGCTGGATGCCAAAGGAGCATGCTATCATAATCTAGCAGCAGCAAATGTGAGAATCAATGTTTGTACAATTGAGCAGGACAATATTCATAGCAGTAAATGGCTATGATTGTGAAATAAAAAGCTTATCCATAAACTAGGTGTTTTTTTTCTTTTCCTAATAAATAACAAAACTAACCTATTTAACTCAGCCTTGCTTTCCCACACTGCTGCCTATTATCACAGCACATCAGTTTCTTCATAGCAAAAAAAATGCTAATAATAACATAATTCTTTGACTACCTGGCTCTTTTTCATGTGAGCAAAAACTGAAAATAGAGCTTAAAGTTAGAGTATCTACAGTTTACTTAATCACAATCTTCCTCCAGTTTTAAAGGTTGAGTTGGTATGGGAAAGTGAAGGAGGCAAGTGGTGGCTTTTAGGAAATTAAAGAGGCTATCTGTCTGCTATTAAAAATAATAATAATAATAAAAATAATATTTTTTTAAAAAAGAAGAGAGCTGTATTTTCTAGGGACAGGTGCTCATTTCAGTTGATCTCTTTGGGCAATTTTATAAATATTCTTTTATCTGGTGCAGCTATAAAAATAGCATCTACAGGAACACACAACTTATACTCCAGACAGTGACAAATTGCTGATTTCTGGCCTGGCAAACATTTGTAACCCTGAGTTGTATCAAGTACCAGGGAGCAGAAGAGACAACGTAAGTTTCTTACTTACTGTTCTGTTAAAAATACTTCCTTCCTCTGCTGAAGCTAATTCTACCCACAGAAGAATCCACCCCCTGGCCACCAAAATAAGGTGTAATAAGGCAGTGTGTCAGGAAGAGTCTTGATTTGTGCTGGACATCATCTTCAGGGATAAACTGCTGCTTTCGTCCTTATAAAAGCATGAAACTCACACAACCTGAATTTCTGAATGTGTGCTTAAAACATTTTTAAATCTCTCACAGGTTCCCACAGTGTGCGGATTACCATAGCAACGACTTCAGTCATGGTCCGTGCCCCTCACCTCTAGGACTGAAGCTCCTTTCCTGCCTTGGGGAGACTCAGTGAAGTCTTGGAGCTGGCCATGCCCTCCATCCTCCTTGGCCTTACTGCAGCAAGAGAAGCAGCGATGTTACAAGTTCATCTGCAGGTCAGAAAGAGAAGGTCTCAGCATGCCACTGTGCTGTGAGAGTCACCCACACGGGACAGCAAAGCTTAGGGCATGTTGGTTTTACACTGCAGTGCTAAAATAAAAATCTTGTCAATGCAGGACTGCTCAGTGTTTCTGGAAGTGAAATAGTCTAAAACACAACATTTTAATAAAATCAATGCAGAGAAAAAGGAATCACAAACTTGAACTTGGTGTTACATTTTTGCACCATCACAATATATTCACATATTTGATTAGTTATTAAATACATAACAAAAAACACAGTATTGTCACTGTTCTGTGTTACAGTAACTCATGCTGAGAAAGTGAATGTCCATATTGCAGCCCACAGTTTGCTTTACCAAGAGAGTACAAACACAGGAAAAACCTGGGGATCCTCAAAACTAGATGTAGGTATAGAAGGGAGGGAAGGAAGCCCCAAGCCCCATTGCAAACATGTAACATTTAACATCTGTCTTTTACCTCTGTTGTTCCGAACACAGCAGGAATTAAAAATTGCTGTTCACTACATCTTATCTCTTGGTTTCAAAAGCGTGTAACACAGAGAAAGGACTTTGGATTGAACTGTCCATTTTCTAATTGGTAAAATTATGTGATTAACCTTTTGATACAGTTCCGCAGAAGCAGTTGTACATCTAACCATTGTATTTAGCAACCGTTAAGCAAGAAATCAGAAAGGAAGACTACTGTACCCATGTCCATGGAGGAAGAAGAGTTTAGCCAAGAAAATAACCTTGATTACATACAGCAGTGCTTGGAAGGTGATTGTGTTTGAGATAACATGGAGCTTTCTTCTCATTGTACCTGACTTTTGAATTTCATTTGCTGAATACCAGAGGAAACATTTGCCATGCATCTTGAGGAAAAATCCTTCCACTGAAAATTCAGACAAAAAAAAAAAAAAAAAAAAAAAAACATATTTTAGGAAGAAATTCTATTTTCTTCCCTGTCTTTTGGGATGAACAACAACAACCAAAGCAGGAGGAGGAGGGCCGTGTGGTAGGTGGAGGCCTGGCAGCAGAAATGAGACCACTGATCCATCCCCATGGCCCTGATGAAGGAAGCTGGCACCTGCAGCAGCCAAAATCCCAACCCTAGTGCTCTGCAGCCAACATCACCACAGCCCTGGGCCCGAGAGAGGCCAGCTGCTCCCTGCAGAGCCAACCTGCAACTGAGAAGCTGCCCAGGCAGTGACCCCAAAATTTGGTCACTTTTCCTCAAAGGCTTCCAACCCCACATCCTCCAGCACAATTTCCAAATTTTCTCCCTGCTCCCAGCTGTGCCCACCCAGTAGCAAAGTCTCGTGCCCATTTCCACGCTTCCCACTGCTTTTTCCCAACTTTTGGAGAACACCAAATCAGCAGAACGCCTCCTTTCATTGGCGTTTTTTGGATTTTTCTGATTTTTTCATACTGCTTTTTTCCTTTCTTCCCTGCATGGACGCGGCTCCGTGCTCTCAGCCCCGCCGCTCTCCCAGGGCTGCGCGCAGCTCCGCGGGTGCGGAGCGGGGCAGATCCGCCAGGGGGCAGCAGCGACCCGCGCACCCGCGCCTCTGCGCGCCCCCGACGCACCGGGACCCGAATGGGGCAGGGCGGGCCCTTGGGGGGGGGTTGTGGGTTTTGTATCATCATCATCATCATCATCATCATCATCATCATCATCATTATTGTCGTTGTTTTGTTGTTGTTGCTGCTATTAATATTGGTTTGTTTTATTATTATTATTATTTATTATTGTTATTACCATTATTACTATTACTGCGTTATTTAAATGGTTGATTCCCACCTGCAGGCGGCTCCCCCGACCTCTCGGCTCTGCACACCTGGGGGCTTTAAAGGTTCTTTAGAAGATTTTTCTTTTTCTTTTATATTTTTCCCCTCCCTTGCCCCCGAATCGGTGTGCAGCAGCTGGAGTTGTTGGTCCGGGGAAGGCAACAAACAGGCAGAGAAGTCGCCTGCTCTTTTGGAAATGACTCCTGCCCGTTTTCTAAAGGCACTTGGGGATAATAGTCCCCTTTGAGCGTGTCAGGGAAAGAAAAAAAAAATAATATATCCCCCAAAACAGGAGGAAGGGAAAAACAGCTAAAAAAAAAATAGAGGGAAAAAAAAAAAGAAAAGAAAAAAAATAAAGGAAAATGAAGAAAAAAAAAAAGAAAAAAAAAAAAAAAAAAAGAAAAGAAGAAATAAAGCGAGGAAGAGAGAAGTTAACGAAGCAAACCCGCAGACGTAGGCAGCTCCCCCCTCTCCTGCGGGGAGAGCGACGATCGCAGCCCAACTCGCCGTGGTATCGCCCGCTGCTCCTCGCTCCCCGTCGGCCGGGAAAAATCCCAAATTCGCTCGTTTTGGGGGCGGGTCAGGCTCGCTGCCTCCTTCCTTCGTTCTGACATAGAACAGGAAGGTGACGTCATGTCCTCGCCTAGGGGCTGCGTCACTCGCGCTGTGTGTGCAGGAGCTCGGGGCTGTCACTTCTGTGCTTTTTCATAATAACGCCCCATTTAGGTCTTTTTTTTTTTTTTTTTTTTTTAGGAAATGACGGACCGCAGCCTGAAAGCATCTCAGTGACTAAGGTCGAAAAGAAAAAGAAAAAGAAAAAGAAAAAGAAGAAGAGAATAAATAAAAATACTATAAAGTAAAATAAAGAAAGAAAATAAAAGGAACAATATAAGATTCAAATCCAAAATAAAATATTAAATAAAATAAAACTAAACTAAACTAAAATTAAATTAAATTAAAAAAAATATATATATCTCGCCCTGTCCTTACCATGGACCTGTTCCTGTCAGGATCGCGATTTTTCAAGCTTGTCACGGATGGGATGGGGAGGGGGAGTTGAGTCGTGGCAAGTGGAGAATCAGGATTTAAAACACTGCGCCCCCGGCCGAAGGGCGTCTGCCACTTGGAGAGGCTTTTCCAGCTGATAATAATAATGTTCCGTTCAAGTTTGCTATTGGGAAGGAGAAACAAGCCAGTAAGTTCGGGGGTTGATTGTGTGTGAGTTCAACAGTCCCCTCCTTTAAATTTCTCTGTAAAAGCTGCGTATTTTGCTTTCACCTGCCACATGTAAAACATGAGCTTAACGAGAGGTGGGGATGAGAGACGTATTTTAAAAAGAGCAGCTACACTCCCTTGTAACTTGAAAACTGGGCCAAATGCTGCCCGTTTAAAATCAGCTGTACCGATTTCAACGGCTTTAGAGCAGTTTGGAAATCATTCGATCCTGAACAGCCCACTCTTTCCTTTTACTTTCCTTTCTTTTCTTTTTCGAGGTTGAAAACAGCTCGACATCACTTTAGCTAATTTAGCCAGAAATAGCTTAGCTCTTATTTTCTAGTCGAAAATAATTTTCCTGTATTCCTACATTTACAGAATTATAAAATAAATTTAAAAAAAAAAAAAAAAAAAAGGAAGATCAAAATACACGCTGAAGTTACCGTAGTTCTAGTAACTACTTTGAACAAGAAACCTGGCTTTTAGCACATTCTGAAACTGCCGACAGCAGACAATACGTTGTCTGAACGAGAAATTGAGTCCGTGCAATCAAAAGTAATGTTTATAAACAATAAAAGGAAAAGAAAAAATGAATCGCAAATTTCAGAGCTTGCGTAGTAATTGTTCCGGGCTATAGCACCGGCAGACTGCTGCTCTGATGCCAACTTTTCCGATCTGAGAGGAAGCCACTCGCAACACGTTGTTATTTTTTTTCTGAAAATGAGTAAATTAGAAGGAAAACGTTTCAGTGCTCTTTAGAACGAAAATCATCAATCGATTGATTTTATTTAGTTAATATAATCATTTTTTTAATAATTTACTTCGACGTAGTTATTTGTATTTATTGTGTTATTCACTTTATATAACAGCAACGTAGATACAAAAACAGAGACAACTTCTTAACGTAACATGGGATGTTTACAACGCTTTTTTTTTCCTTTTTTTTTTTTTTAATCGTAAAATATCAAAAAAAAAAAATAGTTCCAGCCTCTTTGTCCACATAACTTAATTCCAGCTAACTCATTAATTTGACGCCATTAGCGCTCTCTCTCCACCGGCGGCCTCGTGGAGCAGGGTCTGGCACAGCGCACACGTAACCCTAAACCCTCCCACGACACGGTGCCAAATTCACGCCCAATTAGCCCCGAGGCGTCATTAACAGCGGCAACACCTCCTTTCTCCCTCTTTCGTCCCCAAACCGGGTCCCGAAAGTGCAGGGACACGGGGCGGGGGGAGCTCCCCAGCTCCTCCTCCGCGTGTTTCTGGGGGCGGGAGAGGGGAGGGAGGTGGGAAACGAGGGGGGACAGCTTCCGAGGCCGCCCCCTTCTTCTCCCCGACCCTCGTCCTTCCCCAATCGGGTCGGGATATGAAAGTCAGCGACGGGGTGCGGGGAGCGGACCCAGCGGGTGAGTACCTCCAGGGACCCCCCCGCGGGACTTTACCTCCGCGCTTCCTAAAGACGCACCTTCTGGTGAATAACTCTGGATAAATCGGCACAAAAACAGGAGGGCTGGGGCGGGTGGTCGCGCTGGCTGTCACGGTCGCCTTGCCTCGTCCCTGGGGTGAGGGGCACGGGGAGGACATGGATAGAAGGAAGACCTCTGCCGCGAAGCTCCCCCTGCCCCTCACGAGTGTGATTTCGGGGGCGCGAAGGCTCGGTTGGGGTGCGGAGACCTCCCCAGCATCTCCGCCGTGCGCACGCCTCGGGAGTGCGCGGCGGACACCCAAAACTTTGTGTTACCGCCGCCCCTCTCCCGTTTTTAACGAAGCTGGGTTTTAACGAGGGTGCCAAGGCCCCGACGATGTGGGAACCGGTCCAAGCAGCGCCGTCTGTCCGTCTTTCTGTCCGTTCCGTCCTGCCTGCCCTCCCTGGGGAGGGAGGATGAGGAATGGGGGCTGGGAGGGGCGCGTCCGGGGTGAAAGGGGTGTCTGTGATTTATTGGAGTGTCAGCGTGGTCGGCGGCGGAGCGCCTAAAATAATAATCACTTTTTAAGAAGCAGACGAAATCTGCTCGCGCCTCCTCTTACGACAAGTTCTGGGGTTCCCTTCAGCACCTCGGGGTGCGCGTGGGTTTTTTTCGTCGCTTCTACTCACGTCTTGCCGTCTCGCCGAGCACGATCTCTGTCCAGAGAGCACCCCGGTTCCTTTAGCAAACGTACCTTTATCTGTCCTGTCACGCCACGGGTTATCGTGGAATCTTTTGTACCTGGGTTTTATGACCCGTGAGGTGATGGAGAGAAGTTTTCTTTATTTTGGTACTGGCAACGGGCGCTGGAGGAGCGCGGAGAAAGGGAAAAAATAAGCACAAAAAAAATAAAAGAGGGGGGGGGAGAATAAATAAATTAAAGAGAGGAAAAAAAAAAAGGAACAAAAAAAAGAGAGAGAGAGAGAGAGAAAATAGGGAAAAAAGCAGTAGCCTCACGCGTCCTGTTGCTTCCTCGTGCAGCCGCCGTGCTACCCTTACATGCAGGTATTTCGGGGGGGGGGAGGTGCCACCCTGCCCTCACCGCAAGAGCTCGGGTGGCGGTGAGGTGCTCGGGTGGGACCGAAATAACCCCCGAGGCTCTCGGAGAAGGTTCCTTGTCCCCCTCTCCACACGCAGCCTGTGGAGAGGTTTCCCAGCCGAGGTGGGAAACGCGACCGAAATCCCTAGGAGAAGACCTCGGAAGTCAATTACCGGGAGCACGCCGGGTTTGCGGAGTGGCAGCTAATGAGCTACCAAAATTAAAGTAAATAAATAATTAAGAGGCGGTTAATCCAATCAAACGTAACCTCGAACTTCTCGCCTGCCTCCTGACAGCACAGTGCGGTCGGTGCTCCCTCACCGACACCGGCGCTCATAAAAATTGCCCCATGACAGTATCGGGTCTATCTTTTAGTTAAAGATTTTTATTAAAAAGAGGAAAGGGGAAGAGGTGTAAAGTGTAGAAACAGTAGTAAGGTATAGGGGAAGAGGGGCAAGGTATAGGAACAGGGGTAAAGTAAGGAATAAGGATAAAATAACACCCACGGAGTCCTTCCAAGAAAAATCTCAGCACAGGTGCAAGTCAAAATAAACCTGGTTTATTTTCCTGCCGGGACGAAGAGCGAAATTTCGCCATTCCTTGGCACATCCCGAATGACTTCTTCAGGCAGCAGCAGCCCACGGGGGAAGCCTAGGGCTCTGTGCCGGCAATTAAACCTGCTGTGAGCCTGGCCTGACTCACGGCCTGGACGGACAGCACCGTCGGATCCACAGTTTCTTTTATTTATATATATATATATATATATATATAATATATTTATATATATCTTATATATATATGAGTGGATTATTTTCTTATATGTATACGGATATAAAATATATAAGATATAAAATATATAAAATATATAAGAAAAAAAAATAAATAGATACAAATACATGTGCATATATAAATATATAGTTTGTTTTTGTTTTTTTTTGAGGAAAACAGCGCGGGTCTGGAGGCGGGGGGCCCGGGATGCCCGTGGAGCTGCGCGGTGGGCCCCGCCGAGCGGCCCCCGGCAGATGTCGCTGTCCCCCCGTGTCCCGCTCCCTTCCTCCCCACCCCACCCCCGCGCCTCCCACGGGGATGCCACGAGTGGGCTGCGGGGTGCGGAGGCGCAGGAGAAATAGCGCAGAAATTCCCACGCCTCAGGGCTCCAAACGTGTCCGGCAAGGGGGAGCCTGGCCCCCCGCTCCCCTCCCCGCAAACCCGGCGGTTTAGGAGCTATCTGAAGTCTGGGTGAAAGTCCCAAAAGGCGCCGTTCTCGTCCCGGCACTCCCTGCCGATCCGCTTGGCTTCCGCCTGTCTACCTGTAATCAGCGGCATTATTAACCGGAGAGGGGCTGTGGTTTTACAGCGTTATTTTTTTTCCGAGAGAGGTCTATCATGATGTGCATCCGCACTGAAAACTTTTGTGTAAGGAAATACAAATTATGATTTATATATATGCATATTTATGCGTGTAGGCAGAAAACACTAAACTTTTTCCTTAATAGGGAAAAAAAAAAAAAAGGATTTTATTTTTTCTGACTTCAAATTTCGGTCACTTCATCTGAAATTATTAATTTGTCATTGTACACGTTTTCGTTCTGCTATTTAAATATTTGAAGGAAAGGGAAAGGCAAAGGGAACGGGAAAGGCAAAGGGAAGATATTTTTCTATACCTGCATCTCCACTCTTTTAAAATACTTCGTAAACAATGCGGGATCAGGTATGTTCATGTGCAACAAGTGCAGAGCGTAAAGGCACGGCTCTGGCTGTGTGCGGTTTGATTACGAGGCAGACAGAGGAGGCGAGGAGTCAAATCCTAAGCGCAAAGAGTTGGGACCTCGGTTTAGAGGAGTGTGTCCCTTGAGTTGCAGATAGCAAAATAAAATAAAATAAGATCTGATTTATTTGTTTGTCTTCAACCAGACGCCTTCTTTCACCCCAAATCTGAGCAGTGCCACTGAGGGTGTGGGGGTGTGTGGGAACAGCGGAGGAAGATGGGGAGGAAAAGAATGGAGGCGCTGTGCAGGAGCCGCCTGCACCGTGCTCTGCGGGGAGGTGGGGTTACATCCCCCCCCCATGGGGGCACCGCCGGACAGACAGACAGGCAGGCAGACAGACAGACAACAGAACACACAGCCAGGCCGGGCCGGGCTTCCCCCGGCTCTTGGCTCTCTGCAGATGCTAATGAGGAAGACGCAAGTGTGCTAATTGAAAGCAGAGGCGAGGGAGTCCCCGGCACCGCTGGGCGCGTCCCGGCCGCTGTTCGTAGAGTCGTGCCCTGCTAATGAAGTATGTGATGATGAGGTAAGGGATGACATGACCAGACATAGCGTCTGCTTCCTTTATCTGGATTTTTTTATTATTATTTTTTTTTTTTGTCATGTTTTGCGTGGAGCCGCCTGATCGCTTTTTATTGGGTGGCACATGCCACCCCGGCACGTCACCGCAGGGCTGGCAAAGCTGGAGCGCTGCAAATACCAGAAGAATTCACGTGTACTTGTGGTGAAACAGACACTGAGCAACACAGACCGAGCATGACACCCTGCTCTTTATTAAATATATATATATATATTTATATATATATAAATATGTAAGCATGACAGCCTTTCGGGAGGGCTTCCTTTTGCCCTACACTTTCATGCAGGTAAGTCATTCACAGAGTAACTGATTATATATATATGCATGCACTTAGACATTAAAAAGGAAAAAAATAAAAAAGTGTATATGGACAGGCGTTGTTATTATGGAAAATATTACTCGTTTAAAAATATCATATCTCTGTACTGTACAAAGAGAATAGCCTTCTGCTTTTAGTCAGGTTTAAATTATTTTAATAGCAATTCAAATGCCCCACTAAGATTAATAGAAGTGATTTTGATGTAATTTTGATGTAATTCAAGGCCTGTGCCATTTCCGGATAAAATAAATACAATGCTACCTGCAACGCTTTGAAATAATCCCTGATGATGCGGTTTTTTCTGTTAAGAGGTAGGTAGTCGTTTTAAATCTACATGCCTTAAAATAAAAGGCATCACATTTAATAATACAGAAGTTAGAGCATACAAAATGTCTTCCTCGGAGAAAGCTCTGTGGACCGGGATCTACAAATTTTAAGAGTTTTTTTTTTTTTTTAATAAAAGATTTCTGAAATCAGTGCAGAGATAAATGCGTTCATAGGCCGTAATCCAGCAATGAGATATTACATATCCTTTTAAACATCTTATGCTTAATCTATGCCGCCTGATACCTTAATTTTTACTTACTTATTTATTTATTTATTTATTTATTTATTTATTTATTGTAAGACGAAGTTGATTTGTCGATCAAACTCCCGGTTCAAGCTATCGGCATTACATCCGCGCACGGCAGCGGTGTGTCCCTCCGGTCCCAATAAGCGTGTGGTGCGCCTGGGTTTGTATCATTGCCAGCACTACCCGCGGTCTGCAACCTCTTGCAGACAGTAGCAGGGAGGAAACTGAGTATAAAGACATGTACACAGCAGTCTAACAAAAAAAGAGAAAAAAAAAAAAGAGGGGGGAGGAGATAGGAAAAGGGAAGGAGGGAGGTTTTTCTTTCTAAAGGCGAGATGAAAGGAAAAGCGATAGCCTGTAACATCCAGCAAATTAAAAAAAAAATAATGCAAATATACCTTTACATATGCATCAGCATTAAAAATAACACACGGCGGGGCCACGGGAGCGGTGGCAGGAGGAGGATGGCGCAGCGGCGGGGTCCTGCAGCAGCCTGCGCGGATCCTGCGCGCACCGCGCAGCGCAGCACGGCTCGGCACGGCACGGCCTGCCCGAGCACGGCCCATCGTGCTCGTTTCGGGGCTGTTTCTTTTGTAGCTGCCGGTGCTCTTCGGCTGGAAAGGGATACCCGGATTATTATTAGTAGTATTCGTTCCGCTAATTGCGATCGATTCGCTGGATCTGGGGCGAGCGCGCTGGGAACGTGCGGCCGCTTCCGCGAGTAGCCGGATTTGCATATTCCTTCTCTCTTTTCCTTTCCTTTTTTTTTTTTTTTTTTTTTTTTCCTTAATGCACTAATTTCCTCGATGTATGCAAATGCTGCCGGACGTACAGTAAGCCCCCTGCTGACGTCAGTGGACGTGACCTCGCCGATAAACCCCGGGGTTTATCGACGCCTTCCGCGGGCGCGCAGGCTGCGCGGATCCGGCCCCCACCCCATCACACACCCGTTGGCAGAAGCGGAACCCCCCCCCCAAGACCCCAAAACAAACCCCACAAACCGCCCCCCCCCCCGCTTCCCCGAGCCGCACCAGCCCCCGCCCCCCCCCCCCTTTTTTTTTTTTTTTTCCTTTTAACGGGACGTAATTTCATGCTTCTCTTCATCAGACGACGAGCGGGAAATAGAAAATCCCCCAATAAAAAAAATAATAATGATATAAACATCGCGTGTTGAGCCGGGTCGAGCATCCCCACGGAGGGACAGCGGTGCGCGGTCGGGCACCTGCCCGCTGGTCCGGGACCAGGGGCGGTTTCCTAAATCTGCCTCCCCCTCTGGATCGATCCTCGCGCTCACACCGCGGTGTGAGATGGTGCTGGGCAAAGTTTTATAGCCGGGCTATGCTGCAGCATAAAATGCAGTCGGCGTTTTGAAAAAGAAAGGTCTTCCTGAGGTCTTTTTTTATTTGTATTTATTTATTTATTTGTTTGTTTATTTATTTATTTTGCCGTGATGTCTTCCAGAGCTTCTCCCTACCTCTCGGATCTCGCCAGGAGATCCTGGAGCGAGCCACCGGGCGGCTCAGCACACGCACACCTGCGCAGCTCCCCGATACAATCAATCCTCTTTCTCCGAAATTGAATGGCCAAGCCACCTGGGGGGCGGAAACACGCGTGTATTTAGGGGGAGGGGGAGGAGGGGATTGGGAGGCGTGCGGAATTTTGCAAATCCTCTCCGCGGCGTTTGCCCTGGATTCCTGGCCTGAATTCCCGTGGCTCGGTCTGGGCTCGCGTTTTCGGTCCTTACAGAGCTCCCTTTGTCCGCCGTGGGCTGCGGGGTGCTGTAGGGGGGAGCGGGGTGCAGGAGGGGGTGTCCCCATAGGAAAATCCGCGCCTGCCCCCTCCCCGTGCTGCGGGCTGGACAGGCGATGTAGCGCGCTGTGCGCACACGTACGCACACGCATGTAATCCATAAGCATATATATATATATATATATATATATATATAAATAATGTCCCCGCCCCTCCCGCCGCCCGCCCCCTCGCCCCACGCGTACCCTGCACCCATGGGTGCCCCCCGCAGCCGCCTCCTGCCTCCCCCCCCACCCCCCGAGCACCCCCGGGCCCCAGGCAGGGGGGTCCCGAGCCTCTCCCCGCCCGCCCCCGCGCCCTAAAACCAGGCTTTTTCACTCATTTTCGGGCGCCGCTGACCTCGAAGCCCGGAGCGGTAGAGGAGAAGCAGGGGAAGGATGCGAGGAGCTGCGGGAAGCCCCCTCCGCGCCGGGGAGAGGTCACGATACAAGTTTGCATGACAGCAGGAATGGGAGGAAGGTCTCTCTCTCCCTCTCTCTCTCCCTCTCTCTCATTCCTCTTTTTTTTTTTTTTTTTTTTTTTTTTTGGTAGCATTGTGATTTTTTCCCCCGTTGTTGTCCGGTTGGTTGGCTCTGAGAAAAGTTAGGCAAAATGCCAGCGCCTCCGCAAAACGGGACTCGGAAGAATCTGTTCAGAAGTTAGCCGGAGGAAAACACCTTAAAAAAAAAAAATCTACCGATCGGTGCATTATTTATTTATTTATTTATTTTAAGTTTACAAATAAATGTGCGCCTTCCTTCTTCTCTAGGAAAATGTAGCCATTGCTCTTCTTTAGACGAGACATTTCTAATTTGTTCCGTCTGTCAGAATGGCACTAAGAGAGGTTTTGGTGCAAATTCATTATCTCTGGCAATGCAGAACGTATAGTAGGAACTGAAAAAGACCGTGGCAATGGACGAACAATAGGGCTTCAGTTCATCAGCAACAAAAGCGCTGGGGAAATTGGTTGAATTTCAGAGCACGTCCTCCTCAGCAGAGAGGGCTGGACTAGACCTTGGCCAACCCCCCCAAAAAACTTGCAGAGCCTCACATACAGGACTTCACTTTCCACTCCGGGGCGTAGGAGGCAATATGGAAAAAGGGAAGAAAATGAAAAAAATATATATAACTTTCTGCGTTTGTCTCCCGCTTTGGCGGGTGGAAGATCGCTCGACGATTTTACAGCCTTTTTGGCGCACCGTGGAGCTTAAAGCGGCACTTTCAAACGGGGATGGCGGTGGGAGAAAGGCGTGAATTTGGGGAGCCCCGAAGGAAACGGAGCCCCCCGCTCCGTGGGGATCTTATTTATTTTCCACGAGGCCCACCGAAGCCATGTGAGTACGGCGGGGGCTCGGCTTGTGCGCCATGGGGGGGTCGAGTCCGGAGCCCCCTGCGGGGGCTGAGCCCCGCAGCGGGTCAGGAGGGGCTGGGAGGAGGCCGGGGGTGTCCGGGCGCTGTCCCAGCCCCTGCCAGGAGCTGCGATACGAGGGGGGCTCCTGCAGACCTGTTGGTCGCGGTGTGGGGGGGAGGCGTGGGAAGCTCTGGGTGTTTGCAGGGAGCGGTGCCGGGTGACCCCCGAGGGCGTGCGCTCATAGGGAGTGAAAAAAGAGTAAAGGTTGCGCTGTCACCTCTTTTCCACGGGAAAAAAAACATCCTCGGGATGGCCGGGGGATGAGGTGAAAGATCATCCCTCGGAGCTGGGAGTGCTGGATCACCCTGTCACCGGCTGCCCCCGGGCCGGATGGCACGGCTCGGCTCGGCTCGGCTCGGCATGGGTGTCCACGGGTGTCCCTGCTCCCCCTCCAAATCAGCATCCCTCCCCCGAGGAAAAACTTCCCGGGGTTATGCAGTGGGGGAAACTGCTTCAGCACGGAGTGGGAGAAACAGCCTCTCGCTAGGAAACGTGCTTTTTTAAAAAAGAAAACCTACATCTGGTGCAATCCATACGATGCCATGGAAGCGTGAGGCTCACGCCGGATTTATTTACCCCTGCAGCTCTACAACCCGCGGTCCCGGCTGCAGGACAGCCGTGGTGTGGAGGACCTGGAAGAGCTGTTGGGGAAATGCCGGCTTAACGCGTTTTGCATGTTTTGAACTGAAGGCTAGGTGGAGCCTCCGTCCTTTATTAAGCAACCGGCAGCTTATAGTATGCAAATGTCACATCTCTCTGTAGTTCTGGCCACTTCAGTTCGTCAGCCCCAAGTATTCTTAATTTTTTATTCTCAGCCGCAGCTTTCCACAAGTAATTGTACCACTTTTGTTATTGTTATCCCTATTATGTCCTGAAAATATCGATTACCATATTTAACCCTGCAGATACCGGGGTGCATTACTCATATCTATTTTGTGCTGCATTAGATCGTCTGCACGACATGTGGCTACTTATTTCCCCGTTTAATGTAGAGCCAACCTTTCCAGTGATTTATTTAACAATCTCAAAAGTTAATACTCACAGTGCTTTCTGAGCACACACACACAAACGTTTATCTGTTAACATAGGTTCCAAGAACAAGAACCAAGCAGGAAAAGTGTTTAAACTGCGACCTTTTATGGCTTTTTTTTCAGATTTAGACAACGCAGACAGAGCACAGGGAATGGCAATCAAGACACGAAACGGTAATTTTTATTTTATTTTTTAAAACCAGACGATGCCATACGCGTTATGTAAAGATTTGAATATGAGGTCTTTAATGCAGCGCTTCCACGTGTAACTACTGTTTGCGAGTTTCTTTTCATTTTTTTTTCCTCGAGATTTTGACCTCTCGATAGCCTGCATTTTCTAATGTCGTAGTTTGGGTTTGTACTGGATGTCCCTTTGCCTGCAATACTCTCAGCATAGCGCAGATACAAGAAATGCAGCAGGCTTTACAGGCAGGTGCCTGTGAGGTGAAATCGTGGCCACAAAGAAATGATGAAGCACTTTGCTGGGAGTCGAGCCAGCCGAGGGATTTACCTGGCTGCCAGGAGAGGGGTGCTGTGCGAGAAGCGCTGCCCTGGGTTGTACCGGCGTGAATTGTGCTCTGGTTTGGTACGAAGAGGGGATCTGAGTAGCGCTGGACCTTGTGATGCGCCTCACAGCAGCTTCGGTGGGGCTCGTACGCGTGCTCCTGGCGGAAGGTGGGGACACCGGCATGAGACTGCGCTAATTAGAGAGTTCCTCTTTAAAGCAAATCGAGACTGTTTATTCTTAAGAAATCCACGCAGGATGTTACTTCTTTGCGTCACAGCCATCTGGAGACCTATAAAAAGATTAGAAAACAAGCATGGCAATCACATACTAATCTACAGGCCATTAGCGGAAATTTATTAGGGAGGCAGGAGGAAAAAGCAAATGTTTGGAGTCGGTAGCGTCCAATGTACAGATCATTTGAAAAGGGATTTTGGGGCTGCGAAAGCGTGCGTGTAGTGTTATCAGCTGCTGTTAACGTTTCAGACGGTATTCGTGGCAGTAATTTCAGAACTACGCGTTGTACAAACTTTTCACTTGCTAGACAATGCTGCAGGCTTGGATGTGTATGAATGCTAGCAACTGCTGCACGCTGTTTTTTTTGTGATATTTAGAATAAGCAGAGACTTCGTTGCACTTTTTTTCTGGACAGGTGTGGATTTCAAAGCCCTGCGAGGTGATTGAGAGGTAGAACATTCAGTTAGAAATGCGGCTAATGAACAGCTAGGTTGTAATTGTGGTGTTGGCTCTTTTGGCTTTCTGAAGCTCTCCTGGTTAGTCAACAAAACGCGGCAGGTGTATTGCATTTACCACTCATGCCAGTGTGTGAGTAAGTGAGGCGGTCTTGAGAAAAGGACTTGATGTTTTTAAGGTATGTCTTGCATCTTTAAGCATGATTACTTGGAAGAAAAAATGGACAAAATAAGCCTTGCTGTTAACTGTAAATCCAGTAACATGGTGATGTGTTTTAAATGCATGCGTTACTGCGTAGTTACGTGTCTGTGTTGATGTGTGTTACACATGCATCTACAGGAGCACAGACACACGCACATGAGGAGTACCTGAATGTTCATGCCCCTCACTGGAACAATTTAATGCGTTAGCTCATGGGCTTGTTGTGTGTAACACATGCCTGATCACTAATGCTGCTGCCTCTAGCTATTGCCAGGAAAAATATATATATTTCTGTCTCTCTACCCATTCAGAGAATCTCATTAGAATTTTACATAATATCGCAATGATCATGTGCCTGCAGATGTCTAATTCAGCCGTCTCTGTTGTGTCTGAACAGCCTGAGAGGTAATGAGGGAGCAGGGTAACCAACAACGTGGCGTTATAGGGACCCTAACCCTTCCGTGCCAGACTCTGCAATACCCATTACGAGCACTGGCACGACTGGCTCCTTGACCCCTGGTATACAAAACAGTGGTGGCAAACTGCGGTGCCCCCCGATACCGGGATATCTGACAGGCACTACATAAATAAGTAAATAGATAAATAAAGTAATAAATAATTCGGTCTCAGATTCAAGGGCTGGCAATCCGAGCGAGCCCCTGGTTAGTGGCATCACCGCTGAATTCAAGATCGGGCACTTCGGTGGTGTGTCTGTGTTACTTCGTGGTGGCAGCATTAATCCGGGGCCTTGTCTGATAAATGAGACCGCTCCCCCGTTTCCGTGCCCTTATAACATTAACTCAGGGTAAAAAATGGGATGGTTGATGCAGGTGTCACTCTGCAGTGCAACCGCACGCACGTACGTGTTAAAATAAACACGAGTGCACACACGCATGCATCCATGCACCCAAACTGACACATGTATGTGTGTTCCCCTGTGCACACAGCAGCACACACACAGACAGGCTGTGCAGCCAGTGCAGAGCCACCAGAGCTTCAATTTAACTCCATGCACTAAAAATTTCCCCCTTGAAAATAGCACCACATGCAAACACGGGTTAATTTACAAACAAATCCATGTGAGTGCGGTGTGGTATGTGCCCTACAATGCTACGGGAGGACAGAGCAGGGTGTGCTGTGCTTTATTTTACACCTTAGAAGAGCAGCAGCAACAGCACAAATCTCAGGTCGTAATTCCTGCAGCAGCCCGTATCGTGTCGGTGCCGAATTTTCCAATGCACGTCTTACTCCTGCTGCCGCTCCTGAAGCGCATTTATTAATTTCTACTGTAAATACTGCAGATCTCGGTGTGAGGATTCATCGCATCGCGTGCACCCGAGAGACCTGTGATGTTTGCCCTTTGGACTTGGGAAAAAATTCTATAGGAATCATATCGTTAAATAATTCAGAGTGTAATCGTGTATTTTTTATTTTTTATTTTTTTTTCTTTGGGGGGGGGGGGGGCGCTGGGGGCGGAGGTCGAGAGGCTGAAATCCTAATCCTCGCGTTACACGGGTTACACGGGCGAACAGCCGGGGAAGACTTTGCCTCCCCCGGTCCAAGGGGTAAAGCGTGGTTTCCCCACTCCGGGTGCGAGGTCAATAAAAATCGAGGATAAATCGGTGTTTTTTTATTCACGGGGCGTTTCGCCGCCCCGGGTGAACGTCGGCGCACCCTACCGCGGGCGCGCAGGAGAGAAAGGGAGGGAGGGAGAGGGGAGGGCGAGGGTATGGAGGCTATAAAGCACGGCGGAGCCTGCTGCCCGCAGCATCCCCCGCGCACACGCGGAGGGCAGCGCGCAAGGAGCCGTCCCGGTGTCAATACCTGCGGGGCGGAGAGAGGCAAAGGCAGAAGCTGCCCGTGCGATCCATCTCACGGCGGCTCCCGGCACCCGCAGAGGCCGGGCCCTGGCAGCAAAGTGCCTCCCTCCCCGCCGAGACAGAAGAGAAGCGCGGGCAGGGAGGCCAACCCACCCCTACTCCAAAAAAAAAAAAAAAAAAAAAAAGACCTGAAAACGCTTTTATCTGTCCTTAGAGAGGGCCGGCGGACGGCAGAGCGGCCTGCGCCGGCCGGCAGGAAGGTGAGGGCGGCGGGCGGAGGCTGCGCTGGATGGAGGCTGCGCCGGATGGAGGCTGCGCCGGATGGAGGCCGCCGCCGGGCTGATGCAGAGCAGAGGTTTTCGCCTGGCATCCTCAGCACCTTGGCCTCCCGCGGCACGGGACCTCTGACCCCGGGCCACGTTTCGGCGCCGGGAGCCCCCCCTTTTTCTCCTCCTCTCACGCCGGGGGCGGCAGCAAGCCGGCAGGAGCGCGCCTGCCTCTCGCCAGCCCCGAGACACCGAGGATTTTCCCCCTAAAAATCACGCACGCACGGTATTTGCGACCGAGCTGCCAGCGTTTGGCAAAACGCTCTCTGCCTGCATAGCCTTCAGGGATCAGGAGCCGGATCCACGAATCATCTCACTTTCTAATGGAATGGGATTTTATCTTTTTTTTTTTTTTTTTTCTTCCTCCTTACACCGCGCTGGAAACTGCCGCTGGCTTTTACATCTTCATAGAGGCTATAAAGAGCCTTCCGTGAGAACGAAGCGATTTACAATGCAAATAGAGGCCTGCGAAGGGATGGATGCTTCTCGCTCTTAACGCAGCTTGACGCACCTTAATAGCTGGTTTTATTTTCTGGTGTGAGCAGACGAATTGTGGGCTACCGCTGCCGGAAATCACTGGCTGAAAGGAAAAGTTCGGAATAAACTTTGGAGGCAACAGATCTCTCTCTCTCTTTTTTTTTTTTTTTTGGATGTTATTAGCTGCACATGCACGCAGACACACAAACCAGGTCACAGTTGCATAAAAGGATGAATATTTTAAATCAGGACTAGTGCTCTTGGAGGAGACAACACGGCTGTTTGCCAGAAAGAATTTGGAGTCTAGCAAGGGGGAGGAAAAAATAATAATAAAATATAATAATAATAAAAAAAAAGCTTTGAGGGAAGCGAGTTGTTATCTTTGGTTATCTAGCTGTATGAGTGTTTTGGTCTTCATAAAGCTAGATAACCGAAAGTAAAAACTCCTTCAAGATCATCGTACAGCGCGTGAAAATGAAAGACTACTGCAAGAGACAGTAAAACCCGAGAAAGGTCAGGAATGCTTATTGAATCTAACATTTTTACAGCTGGAGGTGGGAGTGGAGGAAATTAAATGGCGTACTTATTCCAAAATGTGAAGTTGTCAGACGCCAGAATGGATAGCTAGCTGCTGCGACGAGGAGACGGTCCTGCTGGTAAACAATGCACGTGCAACCGCTGCTGTCATAATAAAACCAATAAGTAAGGACCCAGACCAGTTAACGTTGCGCTGGGGTGAGAGGACATATATACCTATATATATACCTATATATATATATATATATATGTACACATATATATATTTTCTCAGGAAACTATTTGGGAAGGCCGAGTTTCATTTCGCGTAGTGATTCATTGCAAGGAAGTGGCCTTGCAAACAAAGCTAGTAGCTGGTGATGATGAAGATGGTGATACTGTGTGGACTGAACTGAGGGAAAACAAAACCAAGCCAAACAAAACTGTCTGCGTGCATCTGAGACAAAGCGCTGGGGCTTTGCTTCGAGCCATACGAAAGTAGGCTTTCAAAAAGTTTACGCTGAGGTGTAGGCGAGCTTAATAATTTATATCTACTGAGGACTCGGTGGAGCTGCACAAAGATGAAAAAAAAGTGATGGCCGATTTTCATTCTTCTATTCAGAACGCGAGCACAGA